GGTGGGTACAGACACAAAGCCAGGTCATCAACTCTGTGAAGAAAGAAAAAATGAACATGAGAAGCATGCTTGTGTGCGTGTGGGCATGTTTTTGTTGTCTTTGACAACACCAGTTGGCGTGTTAAGACAAGACTTTTTTTTTCAAGCATTTTTCTTTTTTCCCACTTCGGCAAAGCTGTTTTGGTGCTTCCAAATGCTGCACAATACGAGGCGAGCGCCAAAAAATGTGCGTGGGTTGAGGTACTTTTTTTCAAAGGTGGATAAGTGGTTGGATGGGAAGGAAGAAAGAAAGCTTGGTAAATAGGTAGACTGCTTGGGGCGTTGGTAGGAAAGGAATTAGGTAAGCAGGTCGGGCGCGTGTGTGCGCGTGTGCGTGTACGATTGTACATTGGAACGCATACGTACCCTGGGCTGATTCCGTTGATGCCGTCGACGAGGTCGTCTAGCTGAGCCACGCTCTGCGGCGCGTGGGCGTCCCCGCGGGTCCTGACGGCCGCCGTCGTTTTCCTCAGGCAGGCGGCCGCCGCCTTCATCATCCCCTGGCAGGCGGCGACCGCGCGGCGGTCCCGCTCCGACCAGCGCGTGTCCCGGTCGCCCCGCGGTTCCTCACCGTCCTCCTCGTCGTCCAGGATATCCCCAAACGGGCCGTGGGCTTCGGACAGCGCCTGGTAGATCGACGCCGACGTTCCCGTTACGGCGGAGTTGCGCGCAGGGCGGCCGCGTTGCGCCTGAGCGGCCTCTACCTGCTCTAACTCCTCAATGGCGTCTTTGACAATGCCGCTCTGCCCAGTTAGGACCATCACCGCTGCAGCCTTATTGTCTGGAAGGGAAACATCAATTGTGAAAGAGCTGCTTCAGTAGAAGGGTAGGTCCAGAGATAAAAGGGAAGAGTTCGGCCGGCCGGTACGTCAGTCGGTAGGTGGCCAGCTCAGTCCGTAGGTAGTTAAGTAAGTCGGTGCTGTTGGTCATTTGTTTTTGTAATTAGGGAGGCGGTGCACACGAACTAACCTTGAGGTAGGTGGGTGAAGCGGTCACATGCTGACCAGACGCCGCCTGTAGACCTCAGCTGCTCCTGAGTCAGACTAGGAGGAGACAAGTCAGTTCTTCGCCTCCCCCAACCCAAATCCTTCTGCGGACATCGTTGCGCGTACCTCTGTAACGGCGACCAAAGTATGACCTCCAGGAGTTGCATCAGCCCCTCCAGAACCTGCACGGCGGCGTCCCGGATGTACCGACGTAGACTGACGCCTGACAAAAACAAAGGGAATAAAGAAAGAGCACAACATTTCCCGCCATTTTCCCCGAACTCTTCGGTAGGAACATCATTGACATAGAATGGCAGGGGGGGACCAAGTTGAATTGGCAATATTCCACCGTCAACCTGATAACTTTCCACCTTTGAAAGCTCGCCGATATGTGGAAACATTCCACCCTGACATCCTTTGGCCTGTTTTATTTTGGCCACTCCCCCGACCCCGCAAAGGCAACTCAATAGTCTGTTACGGCATCGCCGCCCGAAAGCAGGAGATTGTGTCAGTTAGCAAGCATTACCTTGGCTCTTGGGAAGCCAGTAATAAACGGTGGCGAGGCTCAGAACGCTTTTGAGGACAGAGTCGGCCAGCTGCTCTCCATCCTGCGGTCAGAGAACAACCCCCCCCAAAAAAAACAACAAATCAAAAAAAAAACAATGTATGGTCACAGGCTGATCCTGTCACATCTTCCCAAAATGCCCCGAAAACTAACTTGCTGCGACGGCAGCGGCGGCTTGGAGAAGGCCAGGCTGACTTTGGTGGCTTCCTGAGATACCGCCTTCACCGCCTGGCCTGCAACGCAGAGGTTTAGAATTCGCATTCAGGTTGCAGCTGTCCATTAGCATTGAACGGGTATACAGTAATTATCATGTACGTATCTTCCGCTGAAGTACTCAACTCAAAGTGTCCCAAAAGTTGGAGAGGTTGAAGTCTCCGTCACGCTCATTGGGCTCTCCGTCTGAGGCAGAAACACGAATGTTAGCGTTAGCATTTGAGCTCCTTATTACGGAAGCACAGATGACTTCATACCACCCATAGGCACAGGTAGACCCACTCAATGTGTGGCCCCTCTTCTTCCATTATGGTGCCAACAGGGCCTGTCACTATCCAATATGTTTTTAATCAATTATTCTATCAACTAGCTGGAGAACATTTTATTTTGCATTCACGTGTAATGCCAAACACTTTTTCCCTTTATTACTGGTTACTAACCAAATATTGTTGTTCATCTGGTAATGTTCAGTGATTAAAGAAACAACTAATCAACTAATCAATTGCGTAATATTACTCCAGAGGGACTAAAGTTTTACTCAACAACCTTTATGAAATCAGTTCAGTTACTGGATGGTCATTGTTTTGCGTGGTAAAGCTGCCTACTGCCCAAAGATGGCTGGGATAGGCTCCAGCATGCCCGCGATCCTTGTGAGGAGAATGAATGGATGGTAGTTTATGTTTTGAAATGTCTTTTTTTGTCTTTTTTAATTCAAAAGATACCAATGGTCGACAGCAAATTTTACTCTTCGATGTGTTCCTGTTGGTATTTGTTTACGCAGATTTTAGAAAATGCCTTCACTTTTTTCGAGCACATCGGGTTTTTAAATGATTTTCATTTTTTTGTTTTTATCTTTGACCTGTCAAATGTTGCGCAATACGGATTTTATCATGCGTTGAAATTTATAGCTATGACGTTTCAGAAATCCACCTGTTGTTGATCCTTTTCCGGCATTCATCAATTTTACGACATATATCCATCCCGTAACGTTGACGTATGAAGTCGGGGGAGAAGTAGCCGTGTTAAAAACTCGTCCAGTGAACAATACGTCTGACGTCAAAGAATACGCGGTCCTGCGAAAAACAGTCCAGTATAGTGTGGCTTTCACATTAGTCTTCTTTTCCTACGTATTACGTCAGTACGGTTGACGTCATATAATTTTGCAAAACCTCACAGTAGTGTGGTTCGAGGTGACGTTAGCCTTTAGCTCCACGTTACACCAAGGAGTCTAACAATGCTAAGCACGCTAACGTTAGCATCGTTTAGCTCATAGCGTCGCTTCCAGACCCGAAGCAGGCCAAACTGACCTCGAACCCGAGCCGTGACGCACTGGACGGAGTTGAGCAGGTTACGGAGAGTCAAGCCGACATTTTGCGCCACGTTGTCCTGCGCGTCCATGTCGGCCCCCTCAGCCAAAAGATTTCCAGCAGACGCGTTGTTGTGGAACCCAAGTTTGGCAGCCGCAGTATGTCTCCGCGCTGGACGCGGGGACCAGTAAAGACGACGTACAACCGGAAGCTGGAGTTCAGCAGGAACGTTTGGTAGCTTTGTCTACCTCTTGTGGTCATTTGTGGAAGAACGTGCACAAACGTCTTACGTGCCCTATTTTGTTGTTGTGTCCCATCGTCAATATTTTATTTATTCTAATGTTGTCCCATAGTTTAGTATTTGAATGTGTGCATTCTTCTATAGTACCATATAAAATATTTCATATATACATACGTCTAAACTACCTTCTATCAGTGCACAGTACTTCGAAACTTTTCTCGTACTGATTTCTCGCGATCTCTTCTTGCGTGTGTGCGTGTGTATGTCCAGGCGAGATATTCAACTCAATAATGAGGCTGGGTGGTTTAGTGTGGATCAGGAAAGGGGTAGGGAGAAGGAAACGTAGCATGGAGGAGGAAGAAGAAGATGGAGTGGCAAGTGTCGCACAAATTGTTGTGTTACACAATATGTTGCCCACTTAGTTGTAGTGCCCCTGATATTACCTAGATTCACGTGGAATCAATTTCCTTGTTCTATAGTTACAGCAAGAACACTTTTAATTGTTCGTAGCTGAAATGTGTGATGTCAGCGTGTTTTCTTGTGTGTATGAACTCCCCCTCCCAAAAGTAAGTCTAGGTTTGTAAGTCGACCGCGTCCAGCTCAGTGAGGGGGAACAGGAGACGTGGGAGTGCAGACAGAGGCGAGAAGGAAGTGTGTGTGTGTGCGTGCGCGCGCGCGTGTGTGTGAAGCGCTATGTAGATAAAGATTTGAGTGTTTACCTCTCCCAGGGAGTAATAGTGGCGGGGGGGGCGGGGGGGGGGGGATGTGTGTGTGTGTGTGTGTGTGTGTGTGTTGGAGGAAGACAGATTGTGTCAGGTAATGAGATAGAAAATGGAAGAGAGGATTTGTGCTCCACTCAGACAGACATTACCTCACACTGTGCTGCAGTGCTGTGATGTTGCCAACTATGTCTCACATTATGTCACCCGCTAGATTACGCACTACATTAGGTCCACTGTTACAGTATTCTTAGCTCATTATGTTGCACATTGTCACCCGTAATGACGACCGCTCTGTCTCCCGTTATGCCACACACTATGTCCAATTATTATGTCGCCTACTGCAGGGCCACTGTCAGTTTCCATACAGTAGTACACGGTGCACCCCAGGAGGGGGAAGCAGAGGCCATCTCTGACTTTTGATACACGGTCAAAATTATTATATCCTATTCTATCCATCCATCCATTATCCTGATGAGGGTCGCGGGCGTGCTGAAGCCTATCCTAGCCGCCTTCGGGCAATAGGCTGGGTACACCCTGTGTTGGTTGCCAATCAATCACAGATCGTTAGGTGTATGTAATATTAATTTCATTTCATTTATTGCATAATAATTTTAACGATCAGCACTGTGGCTCAACAGTTTGTGAAATTGAAACATCTAAAAACACGTCTCTCGCATTTGACGTCACCACACGCTAGCACTTCACCGATGACGTCACCACATAACAGTTCCACTTGACATTTTCCGTCATTAGCCACGTGACAAAAGCACCGTCAGAGAGATCGTGTTCGCCTCGTTGCGTCTGCGCAGGCGTGCCTCAACTGTGTGTGTGTGTGTGTGTGTGTGTGTGTGTGTGTGTGTGAGAAAGATGGGTAAAGGAGAGAGAGAGAGAAGGGGAGAGAGAGAGAGAGAGAGAGAGAGAGAGAGAGAGAGAGAGAGAGAGAGAGAGAGAGAGACTTCCTCGCCAGACGTCTGGTTAGTTGAGTCGCCGGTCGCACGCGGAAACAAGGAAGAAATGACAGACAGACAGACAGATAGATAGATAGATAGATAGATAGATAGATAGATAGATAGATAGATAGATAGATAGATAGATAGATAGATAGAAACAAAGAAAGAAAGAAAGAAAGGAAGCCATGAGAATTTAAATGTTCCAACTTTTCATGGGTGTCCTGAACGCAACGGCCGCAAATGTCTCGTGCGCGTGTGGCTGCGCGCGCCTCAGCTCCGTGCACGTCATGGACGCAAGTGAGTACGGGATATGATTTTTACTGTGATTAATGCCATCAACGTGGACCTCTTAAAGCTCGCGGTATGCCTTGAAAAGTTACAGTGTCAGTAAAAGTGGATTTAGTGTTACTTTTTGTTGCTCGGAGATGTCAACTTTGACGTTTTGTGTTCTCGCGATATTTTTTGTGCGTCGTTGTTGAAACGTGAAAGATTCTACTCGCTGCGTGCAAAATGAAACGGCAGTGAAAAAGAGGGTGCTCCCGTAAGAGTTTGTGTCATTTTGGTGGCTTCGTCATCCGGAAGCAGACGTCTAGCCGGGAAGTGTGTGGTGTGTGTGTGTGTTTGTGTGTGTGTGTGTGTGTGTGTGTGTGTGTGCGCGCGCGCTCGTGGGTGAGGTCATAATGGCTTGTCTGAATGCTGTTCTTTTGCTTTTTGTTTTTCACTGCATTGGTGTTGTCCATATGAACCATATTTCTCCACGCTAGGATGGTTTTTACTTATTTGGGCAAGTGTCGCACTCCTTTTGTCCAAATTCTTGTTTTTTCTTCACTTTTAGCCCACAGTCTCCCATTATGTCGCCAACTCTGTCCCCATCTATCATCTCGGTAAGCTCCCATTATGTGTCCCATTATGTTGCCCACTGCATCACCATTTACAGTTTGTCTCCAACTATGTCAGCCACTACTCCTCCCATGATGTCACCCACTATATTACCCATTATGTTTTTCATGAGGTATCTCAGTATGTTGCCAATTATGTCTCTCTTTATGTTATTCCTATGGCGCTATGTCTCTCCACCTTTTAACTTGCTGTAGGTGTGCTCTATACATCCTTCCGCCTTTCTTACATCCTCCTGATCTGGAAGTGTCTGCTTCCAATTGGAGGCCACATACGCACACACACACACACATACGCACCTGTTCCGAGTGGATGACTTGCTCATCAAAGATCATGACATCAGCATTACTCAGAGGCTAGACGTGTGTGTCAGCTGGATGACTTCACTTGGATCGAGTGTGTGCGCTTTTGAAAATCAGCTCCCAAAGTCAGTTCGACTTGGAAACATTAAATTTGTTATACAAGTCTGGAATGAGTAGACCCACAAAAAAGTCTCATGGGGCCGTACTGGAAAATTGACAAGGCCGTCTGCCGGTTTGGTTTCAATTGGCCATTGCCGCCCTTGAAGCCAGTTACCCTTAGCAATGTGAAATTTGGTCGGCATGTCTGTCACCAAAAGAGCCACAAAAAATGTCTTAAGAAACCATGCTTGAAAATTGATAGCGAGTTTGGCATTTTAGTTTGAATCAGCTATTGCACGGCCCTCTTGAAATTGTGTCGTTTCTTCATCATTATTTCAAAAATTCAGCCCTTGAAGTTGCTTACCCTGCATGTCTGTCACAACTAGACCCACAAAAAAAATCTCAAGACGCCTTGCGGGAAAAGACGCAGGAAGTCTGCCATTTTAGTTTGAATCAGACATTTAATGCCTTGTCGGCTGTTTTGAGGGCTCCTTCACTATTTTTTTTCATATAAAGCCCTTGAAGCCGGTTACCCTAATCAAGATAAAACCTGGCCGCTTTGTCTGCCATCAAAAGAGCCACAAAAAAATGTCTTAAGAAACCATGCTCTAAAATTGATAGCGAGTTTGGCATTTTAGTTTGAATCAGCTATTGCACGGCCCTCTTGAAATTGTGTCGTTTCTTTATCATTATTTCAAAAATTCAGCCCTTGAAGTTAGTTACCCTGCATGTCTGTCACAACTAGACCCACAAAAAAGTCTCAAGACGCCTTGCCGGAAAAGACGCAGGAAGTCTGCCATTTTAGTTTGAATCAGACATTTAATGCCTTGTCGGCTGTTTTGAGGGCTCCTTCACTATTTTTTTTCATATAAAGCCCTTGAAGCCGGTTACCCTAATCAAGATAAAACCTGGCCGCTTTGTCTGTGACGAGTTGACCCATGACAAAGTCACATGAAGCCATGCCCAAAAGCACACATCTATATTACATCAATGGATAAAGCAAAGCATGGAACTGACAATGCAATTCCACTCAGTCAGATCTTGCGTGAATAAATCGATAGGTTACCCCAATAATTGTATTGCCAATCCTTGCAGGAATTCCAAACACACCACCTCCATCATTTAAAAAAAAAAAAAAAAAAATTGTTCACTGTCACTGGAGCTGTCAGCTGTTTTTTGTTTCTCTGTCTAGACCAGGGGTGTCAAACTCATTTCACATGGTGGGCCACATACGGCCTCGGAAGATGGGCCGTATGTTTCATAGCCTGCTTTACATAATCATCTCGCGGGCCGGATTAAACTCCTTTGCGGGCCGGATCCGGCCCGCGGGCCGTATTTTTGACACCCCTGGTCTAGACTCTAGACGCTGGCAACTCAGACGCCACAAAAGCAGTGCGTCACGTATGCAAATGAGGGCGGCGTGTGCATCTGGAGGGTTCCGGGCCTTGCATATGATCTGCATACACGACGGCGTTTAGCCTGAGCCCTGCAGACATGTCAGGTCGCCTTTGTTGTGTCATTCATTAGTCTGGAGTCCAAAGATGTCGACACACATGCCGCCTCTTCCTTGAATTAGTGTGTGTGTGTGTGTAAGGGGGGGGGGGGTGTAAATAACCTGCAGGTGTCTGGGCCCTCGTTAATTAGCTCTCCAAACTTGTAAAGCAATTAATCCGGTCATCCAGCACAGCAACATTAGCTTTCTGAGTGTTCACAAGAAATAGGACACCTTTCCATCAATTTCATGTCATGTTACTCAAATTTCTACATCTCAAAATTATTTTGGGACAGAATTGTGAAACCTCTCAAGTCGTCCTTCACATTGATGATTTCCAAGCAATTAAAAAAACTTTTGGTTTCCCATAGGTCACGTTTTTTTTTTTTTTTTCCACATTTTATTCCCTGTGTGTCCCAATAATTTTGTCCAAATTCCACTTTCACTTTTGGGAATTTGGAAAAAAAAAACACATGTAGCATTAGGCTATTTGACTTTGTTTGGACAAAATGTTGTACGTATATAGTTTCACAATTTGCTGTTAAGACCGATTAAGACCATGATTCGATTAGATCAGGATGATTCAAATATCACTCCCCCAAATTAATCAGCAAAAAAAAAAAACAAAAAATGCTGATTTTTCTCTCAGTTGTTCAGTTCAACAATTAAAATGATTATTTCTTCTTTAATTAATCAGTCATCAGAATTTTACATTGCCAAATTGGAATTAGCATCGGCCTCAAAAAAATCCATCGTGGCGGGGTCCTAGTTAAAGTATACGTTTGATTGTCTTCACTTTTTGGGGGTCGGATTTGAATCTCAACAAATCCAGTGGACCCCAACAGGCACGGACGAGTACTTTTAAAGTACTCGTCTCTTACAAATTGAAAACGTGAGGTGAAAGTACATCAAAAAGAAAATAACACGGCTTGTTATTTTGACACCCTTTTGTTGTGCGCGGTTCCTCTCAAATTCTCTTCTTCTTGTCACTGACACTTTTGTGTGGGTTTGGGCGCACGTTTGTTTTGTCTCCAGTCAAGGTTTGGACGCACGCGCGCGCGCTCACGTACACGCGTACTCACACACGCTGCTTGTCTCTATTTTCTCCGGCTGTTAATGGTTTGTTTTCGCTGTCTTTTGTTTTTCCGGTGGTGCTCTTTTTTATTCTTCTAATAGTCCTCTTATTTGTCATACATGATCATTCAATGTACCTTAAAACAGCTTCACGGGCGTTATCACCAAGCAAATCTAAGCTTCGAGCTAACACGCGAGGGGAAACGCCATCGAAGGCTTGGCCGCAATTAGCATTGATATTCCCGCTGTCACTTGAGCAGAAATGCGACAGATGCAAACACAACATCCAGCGATACCCTCGGGCGTGTGTACTCTCGGCTGAAACAGTTTGAACTTCTGAAGTTTATAGATTCAGACTTTTATGAGTCAACTCAATGACTGCACCTCTTTTTTTTGAGGGAGGGCGCTCATTGGCACTGATGGTTTTTTTTTGTTTGTTGTTCTCTCTCTCTCTCTCTCTCTCACACACACACACACACACACACACACACACACACACACACACACACACACACTGTCAAACTTGCCCTGTCTGACTTCACACCCTTTCAAATTTAAATGACTTGTGTGTGTGTGTGTGTGTGTGTGTGTGTGTGTGTGTGTGTGTGTGTGTGTGTGTGTGTGTGTAGTCTGGATCCTTCTGGCTGGCATTCTAATCAGGCACACTCACATACATTTGGCCTGTGAGAGCCAGACAAGCAGCTGATCATAATGAGCTTTGATTTTCATATGTTTCAGACACTGCGTGTGTGTGTGTGTGTGTGTGTGTGTGTGTGTGTGTGTTTGCCTTTGACAGACATTGAAGAGTCATTTGTCTGCGTTTTGTTCCTTGAAGTTTCTTCAAGCGTCGTAACACCACAGATTCTATTCATGAGCCCATCTATGGTGTTTCCCTTATGTGTTAGCCCGATGCTAACCAAAAGCAAAGTTGTGCGTTTGTTTTAAAGGTGTAATTCTCATAGTTTTATGTTTACTTTGACAGTAAACATCAAGTAAGGTAGGCAAGAAACATGGAAAAATTGTTCCCTGGCAGTCAAACTGCTTCTTGTTGGCGAATGAGTTGAGTTTCCTTCCGCCGTACGCTGCGTACAAGTTTTTGCTTTCAAACAATTGGCCGAACGATGGCTTGTATCTAAAAAAAAAAAAAAACAACAAAAAAAAAACCTAAGTCACTTGTATGTCGAAGCACCATTACATTGCTATGTCGTGTTAGCTCATTTCGTCAAACACGCACACCCACATACACATCCGTGGGAGTTTTACGGAGCAAAGTTCCCACACTTGTTGGCCTCACTTTGACCATGCAGCACAAAGTCAATGTGTGTGTGTGTGTGTGTGTGTGTGTGTGTCCTCTATATAGCCTTTCTCATGGAAATAGGCAAGCAAATTGTGTGACCTACACTTGCACACACACACACACACACACGCACACACTCAGCTGCCTGTGCTATTTGTGAGCTTCCAGACTGCCGAGTCACGGTGGCACTGGTTGACGGTAGAGGGAGGGCTGTCTGTCTACTCCTCTTTTCTTTGGTCACTTTTTTTCTTATTCTTTCTTTTTTAACTGAAAGAATTGTGAGGCTTAAGTGCAGTCCCACTTTGTGCCACCATTTCATGGGGCAGCACTTGGCACTACTGGAAGAGATGCAACATAATTAAGAGCAAGAAGAAGAAGAAGTAGGAGAGTAGGTCCCCAACTAAAGTCCAGTTGTGTCGGTTGGTCTCACAGGGCAGAGCATACATGCACGTGCAAATGTGTGCTTTGTTTGTATGCGTTGCTGTGCCGTGTGCGTTTAAAGGTTTGTGATTGTTTGAGCATCTTGGCTAATTTCAGTTTGCCCGTTAGTGTTTGGTTGCATTATATGTTCGGCGTGAAGCCAGCACGCTTTGATGAGACAAAATGATCTGATTTGGTGTTTGAATACACATTGGTGCCTTGAAATACGAGCCGAATTCATTCCGTGACCGTGCTCGTCACTCAGAAGATGCTCAAATCATCCTTTCCCATCGAAATGAACCGGAAATGCATCTCACCTGTTTCAGAAGCGACCAGTTTGACACACACTTCTGAAATAAGATGGACTGTGGCTCGTGTCACTCATCCGGGTCATTTCATTCTCAGGGCATCAAGTCCATCGCGACTAAACTGCTCGGTTTGCCTTCGATCATCTGAGTCGGCATCATCAGTAGCGACACAGTGCCATCTGTGATGAGTGCAGTTCTCGTTAGCACACAGTTGTTGTGCATGTATTTTTGGATTCGATAGCAAGGTCCCACTGCCGCTGGGATGACTCTATTAAGGTGACTTAACTGGCTTGGTCGGGCTCGCGTCTGGGCCACCGCGAATGTCGAACCATCTGCCCGTGGGCACCAAATTGGTGACCCCAAATTCAGAACAACTGCCCCGCGCTAAACGCGGCGTGGCTGGATATCACTGTTTTGCTCACTGAAACAAAAGTGCGGCATTGAAACGTGACGCATTTTTTTCACATCAACAAAAGATAGTCGCTCAAGACCAAATCTAAATGTTATTCATCTGTAAATATTGGTGATTGCTGATACCACAAACTAAACAAATGCTTGCTTATCACCACCATGTTTTTTTTTTTTAATTTGAATTGTCTTGAAACACTTAAACCAATGCGGAATATCCGACTTTCACAGAAACGCATGCCTGCATCCTTTTCCCAAGTTGAAATTTGAGTTCCTCATTATACGACATGCATCCCCCCACTCAACACTTTGCCCCCCACTACCCATCTGTCTTAGCCAGACAGGCCCCTAGCGCCCCCTCCCCATCAACAGTGCCGCCCTTTTGTTCATAGCCTTTTGCAGCAAGAAAGCGGGTGGTGGAGGGCAAGTGAGGGGGGGGGGAACCATGACAAGTGTGTGCCGACACAACTGTGTGGTGAGTGAGGCCGCCATAGCGCGTCAGCCACGATATCACGATACGGCCATGATTTGATCAACGATGTAAAATGGAACAAAAATTCGCTAAGGTGGGGAAAAACACGTAGAAAAAGTGTATTCCAAATTAAATATAAGGTATATTTACAAAGTAAAATATTGTCACAATTCTGCCGATATCGCGATACGACAATGATGTGATTGATATCACTCAATTGATATTTTGAGTCGAATCATGGCCAAAATGAAATCATTGAACAGAGGAGCTGAATTGACCTCAAAATGTGATCAAATATTTTGACGATGTCCTCCTCATGGCATCATAATAGGGCAATGATGCGATTAGCAAATTGTCAGAAAAAGGATACAACTGAAGAGAGAAGTTGGAATAACCTCGTACCGTGATCTTATGTTTTTCCGATATCCTATTGATCTTATTGCAGTACAGCATTTGTGGTCAGCGATATGTTGAATGAAAGCATCAATGATTTAAAATGTATTTATTTATGTTTATAAAAATGTGAGTGACATATGTTTGTGCAATATTATTGCCATATTTTGCACTTTTGCAATTTTCATCATATCATGATCTCGCAACACAGCAGTGACATGAAAGGCAAGGAAGAAAAACTTCAACGTAGACATCAAATAATTACATTTTCTTAATAATTGGAAAAAAATGTAACAGGCCAAGTTAATTTATAATGAAACAGTGACATGAAAGGCAAGGAAGAAAAACTTCAACATACACATCAAATAATTACATTTTCTTAATAATTGTAAAAAAAATGTAACAGGCCAAGTTAATTTATAATGAAAGAATATGATTCACGCATTGAATTGAAAACATCAAGGAAATTCCTTCATTTCATAAACTGCCGCAGTATAAATAATGTGTGATATATCGCCATATGTGGCTAACTACTGTATCACAGCATACTGATGGCGTGATCATTTGATATATTGGTAGAAAACCAGCTGACCTTGGCAAAAATAAATGTTGCAAAGATTTCACAATCTGGAATGGACGTGATAGATTATTGAAAGATTTTATCGGTGCTGATATCACAATACCGTGTAAATCGTGTGTGTGTGTGTGTGTGTGTGTGTGTGTGTGTGTGTGTTGATATATTGGTAGAAAACCAGCTGACCTTGGCAAAAATAAATGTTGCAAAGATTTCACAATCTGGAATGGACGTGATAGATTATTGAAAGATTTTATCGTGCTGATATCACAATACCGTGTAAATTGTGTGTGTGTGTGTGTGTGTGTGTGTTTGTGTGTGTGCGCGCGCGCGTGTGAGTGTGTGTGTGTGTCTGTGTGTCTGTGTGCGCGTGCGCGCGTGCGTGTGTCTGGTCACAGGACATTTACAGCACTGTTGTGTGTACTGTCTAGACATTTGTGTGTGTGTGTTTTGTGTGTGTGTGTGTGTGTGTGTGGTCACAGGACATTTACAGCACTGTGTGTACTGTCTAGACATCTGTGTTCGTGTGTGTTGTGTGTGTGTGTGTGTGTGTGTGTGTGTGTGTGTGTGTGTGTGTGTGTGTGCCCTCTTAGTGCACTCTGTTAAAAAAAAGAAAAGTGTGAGAACAGCACTGTGTGTGCGTGTGCTGGGAGGCGGTGGAGCATTTCGAGCAGACTGCTGCTAAACAAAGCCTGCCCTGTCTGTCTGGTCTGGAGTGTGTGTGTGTGTGTGTGTGTGTGTGTGTGTGTGTGTGTGTGTGTGTGTGTGTGTGTGTGTGTGTGTCTACGTGCGTGTGCGTACGCGCGTGCATGTTTGTGTCTGGGCGTTTGACACACTAAACCTGCTGCATCTCATCATGACGGAGCAAATCATTTGCAGTTGGTGGAAAGTACCACAAAATGTGGCTAAAATGTCTGCTTCAAAGTCAAATGGCAGGCTTGATGTGTCTTTTTCGGGCGTTGCTTCTTCAGCCTTTTTTTTGCGGGTCGACTTGTGACAGATGTATTGTACCTACCAAGTTTAATTTTGCGAAGACTAACTGGCTTCACGGGCTGAATTAAAAAAAAAAAAAAAAAAAGAAAAAAAGCTTTTAGGACTCCAGGAAACAAATGATGGAAAATGAAGCTTCAGATGTGTCTTTTGAACCACTTCCATTTTTTGACTCCTCTAGATGGCACTCTTGCTTGAAATAAAAAGGGTTAATGAAATGGCAGTTCAGTTTTTCAGTGCGATGTTGAACAGACAGTGCCATCTAGAGGAGTCACAAAAAATACCAGAACTAGTTCATGAAGCAAATGTGAAGCTTCATTTTGTCATCGCTACTGGAAAGGGCCAACAAGACGCTAAATGTCTGCTTCACAGTCAAATGCAATACTTGCTGGGTCTTTTCGGACATTGCTTCTTTTGAAGACTCGTGTGTACTTAGAATAGATGTGTATCAAATTTCTTGACGTCAAACTGGCTTTGGGGGCAGAATTTCAAAACATGAAAGTGCTGCAGATATGCAGGAAAAGCTTAATGCTATTTTCATTGTGCAGCGTTTGAACATGTGTGTGTGTGTGTGTGTGTGTGTGTGTGTGTGTGTGTGTGTGTGTGTGTGTGTGTGTGTGTGTGTGTGTATAGCCCAGCTGGAGTTGGTTCAGTTGGTGGTGATCGTGGTGGTGATGATGGTGATGGTGGTGGTGGTGACGTGCGTGCTCAACCACTATCGACTGTCGGCGCGATCGCTGCTCTCCAGACAAGCGCCGCTGCCGGGGGCGGGGCCACGCCAAAACCTCGCCGTGGTGAGTCGGGCGACTTCGTCCTTTGCCTTGGAGAGTCGAATAAAAAAAAAAAATCTATCTGTCCAAATGAATGAAACGCCACTTCCAAGCATATGACAAATAAATAAAAAGAAAAAAGTCATGCCTGAGGGGAACTCAAGATAACTTTTGCCTTACTGATTACGGTCATTGTTCACGTTTCCCTAAATTTTCCATATGTGGCCATCAGGCAGCGGGTCTGTGGAGCTCAGAGTGTCCGAGTGGCGTCAGGAATGACGTAACAGACGCTTCCTGCTTCCGGCTATGACCTCACAGTTATATGATCTTCCGCCGTCCTGTTTTGGCAGCACGGATTCCACCCCCGTGGTTCAGAGCGAGGGGCACCGTACCTCCCGCGGCGTTTCCCGCAGAGCTGCCCCCCTCCCGTCGCCGCCCGCTTCCAGCCCACGTTCCCGTTCCTGCGCCACGACCTGATCATGGACCTGCCGCCCACCATCTCGCTGTCGGATGGCGAGGAGCCGCCTCCATACCAGGGCCCGTGCACTCTGCAGCTGCGGGACCCCGAGCAGCAGATGGAGCTGAACCGCGAGTCCGTGCGGCCGCCACCGAACCGCACCGTCTTCGACTCGCACCCCCTGGACCCGCCCACGTCCTGTGTGCGCGCCAGGTAATCCGTGACCGCTGTCCTCCCAAAATCTTGCTTAGGAGAGGGTTTGAAGGGGGTTCAGGCTAACGGTTTTGGTTTGGCGGCACTCGATCTTTTGCTTTGGAGTAGTACCTTTCCTTGCAAGACGAATTATCTCCCAGGACTTCAACCTTCACTCGGGGCTAGACCCTTTTCTTTGGGACTAGATCCTTCTCTTGGGATTGAAGTTCTCTCTTGGAACTGGATCTTTCTCTTTGCAACCTTCCCTTGAGACCAGAATCTTCACTTGGGTCCAGAACCTTTTCTCAGGCCTCGATCCTTATCATGGGATTAGGACCTCCTCTCAGAACTAGTTCTTTCTCTTTGGTCTAGTACTTTTTATTTAGGCCTCGAATTGTCTTCAAGGACAAATGCCTTCTCTTGGGACAATAGTCATCTCCCAAGACTAGAACTTTCTCTTGGGTTTAGAACCTTGTCTCTGGATTAGATCTTTCTTTTGGCATTAGGACATTCTCTTAGAGCTAGATCTTTGCCTTTAGACTAGACCGCTCCTTTGGAACGATTAGCATTAATGGTTGTGGGTGTTAAGGTCCAGGGTTTGTATTATTAGGATTATCTTTGAGGGTTATGACTTTAGGGGTAGAATCTTCTCTCGGGTGTAGAGCCTGCTAGTGGGACTAAAACCTTACCTTGGGACGAGGATCTTCCCTTGGGACTTGAATTGTCTCTGGGACTTGAAAATTCTTTTCCTTTCACTCTGGCTTGAGGAGTTAGGTTCTAGGTTTTGAATTAGTGTACTGTTAGGTTTTAAGGTGAAGAGGTTAGGGGACTTGCTTTAGGGCTACGGTTAAGATTAAGGGTTGCAGTTAGGTGATTAGGGTTCGCGTAATGTTAAGGTGAATGGATCGGTTTCTTGTACGGTAATGGTTACGAGTTGGAGAATGGTTGGTCGGTATGGTTTAGTGTCGGTTCAAGATTAACGTTTCGGATTAGGGTTCAACTTTGGGGTTCTCACATGAGCAGCAGCTTTTGTGTGGACCTTTCTCTGGATCCAAAGTGGTGGAGTCCTGGTTGTCGTTGGATGATGTCACTCACTCGTGCTCTATTAACAGGTGGCATTTTCTCCACAGCCTCCAGGCAACCCGGCAGCAGAAACAGAAAGGAGCTCCCCCTACCTATAGCGAGGTGCTAGGACATCTCTACCACCCGCTGCCGGAAGTGGATAGCCGGAACGCCAGGAACACAAAAGGGAAATCCTCAGACCTTCGGCAGGTGTGACTCCATGCTAGCTAGCGAGCTAGCTTCGACTGGTCAGTAACCTGTGACGACCAACCTGCACTCTGATTGGTTGGGAATGAGAGATGGTTTGCGCCTCACCGCCGGAGATGTCATTTCCTGTTGCACAGCATTCTACTTCCTGTCGAAGGATTATTACATATTTACTTGTTTGTTCGTCTTCTTCAAACTTCTGAGAGAGAACTGTTTGTTTTGTTCAGTTGAAATGTGTTCAGTCTGCTTGTGTCATGTTTCAATAAGTGACTCGAATAAGGTACATACAAAGGATTGGAGGTGAACCTCTAATCTGTTTGGCTGACACTGAGTAGATCTAAGCGCCCAGGGCACAATTTCAGGAAGTCCACTTCCATTCTTGAACGGTTGAGGACATTCCAAAGCAACACGAGGGTATTCCTTTCAAAGGAGGCTCACGGACAGAACCACATTTTCAGAGTTATGTAACCTGCTCAAATTGATCTCATTTCATTCGTATTCCTTGAACTATGCTAGCACTGGGACATACTGTACTTGTGCTGGGCCATACTAGTGTTGGGCCATAGTAGCACTGGGACATACTGGACTAGCACACAGAATCATTTGTTCTTTGCCTCCTTTTGATCTTTTCCTACTTAGCATGTGCCTGCCTTAATGTTCTCCACGAGACAGAGGAGTCATCGCTAACCGATGAGCTGGTGAGATTCTTGAAAGACGATTTCTACAAAAGCTTTGCACAAAAAAAAACTCCAAAACGTCTGTGATGAGCAACATCATTTCTAATCAGTAAAAGATGTTTTCCTTTATTTTGTTTTAAGGGAGCGAAAAAAAGACTGTTGACATCGTGTCTTCTGCCTACTTGCTACCAAGTGGGAAATGTTTTATTTTATTTATATGAAAATATGAAAATAATTGCACTATGTTTTCGTATAGTAGAGAGACTTTTTTTGTAAAAGGAGCTCTGTCCATTGGACTCACACTTTTTTACAGTCTATATTGAAAGACTCAATTTACAAAACAGACAGCCAATAAACACACAGTTAGCCTCCCCTCCCATTGGCCAAAAGATTGGCCCTCCCCCAAAAAAACGTGACACAATTTGTCAGTCCCATTTTGAAGCGCTCATCTTCAGTTGTTACACTTATTCTTGTCTTTTCCACATAGAGGGACAGCCAGCAAAGATGTGCCATGCGAAACACACACACACACACACACACACACACACACACACACACACATATGCCCCAAACACGCGTTCTTGTTTCTATCATGTTGTGGGGTTACAGATGCAAACCATTGGCTGGTGTGTGTGTGTGTTTTAGTGCATGTTGTTTTGGTGTGAGCACTTTACTGCGTCAGACAAAAGAAAACATCACAACCAATCCAAGTCAGCAAGCGTTCCCATCCAATCAGACAACAATGAACATCCAATCCCCCATCTTTTTCTGTCATGCGTCGGCATGTGACTGGTCGCCACGGAGCGGACACATGGAAGTGTTAACAAATGACACGAGTGTCTGTGGCGACCTGTCTACAAAACCGTTGCAAAAAAGGCACTGCAGACCCAACAAATCCAACGCCCACTCAGCTCCGGTCTTTATGCAACAGCGCACTCTGCGGGGAAGCGGCCGCACTACATGCCCTAATGTTAGCATGGTCGCTAAAGTTAGCTTGGTTGTGGTGCGGTTGTCCCGCTTGGAAGAGTCGCGGCGGGTAAGACAAGGCCGGACGGGTTCTGATCAGGGATCCTGCAGTGCCGATGATGTCATTTTTTTTTTGCTGTATACTGATTGGTGGAGGAGGTGGCAGGGGCAGGTTTCTTCGAAAGGCTCAAAACAGGTGACAGCAATGTCAAGTTTGGACAGGCTGCAATTAGATTGAAGGGGCGTGTGTGTGTGTGTGTGTGTGTGTGTGTGTATATATATATGTGTATATGTACAGTATATGTATATGTATATATGTATATGTATGCACATACACTCATACTTGTTTTTGTGAGATTATGGTACCACTGGTTTAAAGTCAGAACATTGCCCCCGCCACCCCCCTGCCTTTTGTGTGTGCGCGCGCATGTGTTTCCTGGGAAAGCGCTGCTGCTGTCTAGACTGTAAACCAAACACACTGAGTAGACTAAACAAACTCAACACACACTCACACACACCTGGTTGGCCTCTGAAGTTGCCCTCACCCCCCACTCTCTTACCCCGCTTCCCTGCATCACTTCCTCTTTGCGTCAGCGCTTCCTACTTCACCCGTCCATTGACAGAGCTCCTTCTGCAGTCTCCATGGTGATGTTTTTTTTTTTTTAGATGAGAATGGCCTGTTAGGGCTGTCAATCATCCTGTGACACGCCTCCCTCATGGCCTCAAAGATGTTTGGATAATGACTGACACATGATGATGATGATGATTATGATTTTGTAGTGAGAGTGTTGCAATACATCCACTGTTTGCCTTTTTTTCGTGCTAGTTTAGCTTAGCATTGTTGTTGTAGTTTGTAATGATTTTTCTGCACATATTTCCGCGTCATTCCGTCCGTTTCTTGTGTCCAATCATCCCGAGATTTAAACTTTTGTCAAAGTGTCTTTGCGCTAATCACGGCGTCTACACACGTGTGCCTTCTGTGTTTTTAGCTTATTCTGCATGATCTTAACGCAACAGATTGCCTCCAATGTTTGTTTAAAAAAAAAAAAAAAGGAAGAATAATCATTAGTTTGTCAAGTTGTGATGCTGCGTTTGCTAGCCGCTGGGAATTTGGAAAACTTTCACTTTGAGCTCAAAACATGGTGGAGATATCTCTAAATAAATAAATAGGTAATATACAATGATATCTAGTGGAACCTCCAAAGTAGAACACAATCCTTTCTATGAAGTTCTCATGTCAAAACACATTTTCCTTTAAAACACAATTTGTTCCTGGCTCTTCTTGTCACCATCAACCGTAAATGACAGTACTGGCAATGTTGAGTTAAAAAAATGATATATATTAACTTTACTGGTCATGCCTGTCTGTTTTTTATTTTCCCTCCTTCATTTTAGCATTTTTTAGCAGACAGGTGCAAAAAAATACAATATACAATAAACGTATTACTACTATAAAATAAATAAAATAAACTGAGTAATTATTATTGTTGATATTATTATATTGATAATTAACAAAAGAAAATTAAAAAAAACTACAATTATATGCCAAAAGCTAGACCAATTCACATGTTATTAAATCTAAAACGTGTTTGTATGTATTTATGTTTAAAACACTCAAATAAAACTAAAATAAAGTACAACTGACGGGACTCACCATTTGTAGGCATCTCATAGACACAATGCCCTATATTCACTTACTGTTGTTCTAAGTTCAGAACTGTCATAAAAGTGCTCAACAAACAAGATAAGCACTGTACCATAAAACTAAAATAAAGTACAACTACTCACTCGCTCAAAATCTCTGACAGACACAGACTGGGAAAATAAAAAGCCGAGGAAAATCAAAGCACACACAAGATGGCTTGAATGGCTTCCTTTTTTTGACCTGGTATAAATTTCTTTTTGAACTTGAAATTGTTGAGGTTGACATCGGAGGTTCGGCTGTCAATTAACTTGCAGGTCAATTATGAATAAAATGCGCTGAAATGTGTTGTGGAAGGTCAACTTTTGAGCGCACTTTCCTGGCACTTTCCCCTGCAAGTTACCGTTTTCCAAGTTTTCTCAAACGCAGCATCAGCGTTGTGTTGAAACGCTGCCCGATGGCAAACATCAAACATTTGACGTGGACTCAAATGTCTCCTACAATTTCTACTTTTCTTAAGAGCTTTCGGAAAATGTTTTGGACGAGGGTCACACGTGGGGAAGTTCAGCACAATCTATTCCTATTTGCTGCCTTTTTGAAAAAAAGTGATTTTATTTTGAAAAGGAAGAATCCTGTGGCTCTTTTTTGTTTGTATGTTTGTTTGTGTTTTTGTTTTAGGGCCCGACCTAAATTTATTTATTTATTTTTTTTATATAAGGCCGATGCAAAACCTGATTTTTGGCCGAATAAAATTCCGATGACAAATTCATCAGCTGATAAAATTGGAAAAGAATATGAACAATAAAATAACGTTTTGTTTTGTTTGTGTTGTCTATTACTGCTTAGAATAATAATTTACAGGCAGATCATTTGACTGTTGTTTAACTTGAAAACTGAGAGAAAAATTGGCAAAAACTGGCAGATTTTTTTATGTTTTTTTTTTTTTTTTTTTGGTAGCGGTGATAACGATTTATGTTGTAATGTGTGTATATATTTAAAAAACTAAACAGACAAAATCGGCCGATTTTACAAGCGCTATTCTCGACTGAATAAATGGTCGGGCCCTAGTTGTTTGTTGTGCAACATTCCCAAGTTGACGCATGTTCGATTTTGCATTCAATGTGTACTCGTGTGACGTTCGCGTCGATGTTGCCGCCAAGAAAAACAAAACGGTCCCGAACTGTTCTTGTTGTTGTTTGATGGTTGGAATCATTTCAATTTGGTATCTGGTCGAAATAAATTTCTTTTGTACAAACTTTTGTATGTTTTTTTTGTCACACTTTATCGTTCAATTTTCCAGCTCCTCATGTGCACACCTTGGCCATCTTGGGTTTGCATCATTTTCATTTCAGCAATTTTCACATTGTTCATAGAAACGTCTCAACCCCTCTCTCACTTCATCAGTTTGGCACTAATATTAGTTGTTCTTTCCTTTGAGTGCTGTTTTGTTGTCTGTCTACGTGTATTGTTTCACTGTTTGTCTTCAATCTGTTGTTTAACAAAGAGACACACACAAAGTATGTATTTATTTCATTTGGTTAAATTGAGCGGATCATCGCCATTCATGCATGGCACCACACTGCCCCTGAGAGGCCACAGCGGGAAGTTATTTGTGTTGCTTGTTTTTATTGTATTGCTGGGATTTGAATAAATTATTTTCTTGTTGTTCTTTTAAGTCATATTAAAAGTTGATTTTTGGTCGTTGAATAAATACTATGATTTGAAATAATTCATAGTTGTGTGAATTGAACAGTCAGCAAGGGATTTTTATTGATTTTTTTTTTTGAGGCATTCAAAACATTTTGTTGTCTGTGTTTGAAAAGGTGCAATGGCAGCTCGTATGCAGCAGGTGGCAGGCTCGGCCAAATTCTGAGGAACACAAACAGATCTTTTGCATATCGACTTCCTCCCTTTCACATTTCTTCACCTGTTCAAACCATTCCAACTTCAAATTGTTTTGCTGAATCGCGCCATTTTCGGAACTATTTATAATGTCTCCCAAAATTCCCAAATGCAGAGCTAGCTATCTTACACATATACTTCCGTATTCTCATTTTCTTGATCAATTTGAACATATAACTGTGATGATGTTTGTATTACTTACTTTTACTTTTATTTTCCTTTCATAATTTTTGTTTGCATTTTGTCATGTTATTGTATGTTTTATATATGTTCAATAAACAAACAAACAAACAAACAAACAAACAATTCAAATCATTCCGATTTCAAACTGATCAGCTCCACAACCTTCTAACTCTCACAATTCCAGAACATAATTCCTGCTCTTTCCACATTTTCCCCACCCACACGACAAGTCAGGTCAAGGAATTCACGAATTCCATTGTCTGGTTGCGGTATGACGCGTCGATGGAGACGAAACAGAATGAGTACGTACCCATAAACATGTTTTTGTAAGAAGTAGACCTTGTTCCGGTTGTTTTGTGTGTGTGTGTGTGCGTGTGTGTGTGTGTGTGTGTGTGTGTGTCTTTCCCAGAAGTGCGGAAACCAAGACGAGTGCTGTTGAAAACATGTCAGTGATTATTAACTTTGTCCACCGTCATTATCTTTACGTTACACAACAGCTGAGAGCAACAACACTCAAGAACGCTTTCAACCACTTCATTGTTCCGCCTTCCATTTCACGATCCTTTCGGCTTGCGTAGTTTTTCACTAACATCAGTTTTTGTCATCAGCAAAAAATATAGATTCATTCTCAAAACTTCTTATCCCTTCAAATTCCCGTTTGTCGCTGTAATGTGCAGGGTGGAAAACAATGTTGTTGTTTTTTTTTAAATGACATTCTTATATCGTCTTTGTAAAAACTCTGTTCCTTACCTTGCCGATAGCAAATCATTTCTTTTTCTTCCACGACCAAAATTAAATTGTAAATATTCTTCATGGTCAACAAAGCCGATTTGCACCTCAGAACTGCATCGTTTAGTTGCTCCATTGGAGTTGGGGAGATTTATGCCACTTTTTTTCAGACCAATACCAGTACGAATATTCGCTCTTTGATACCGGGTACTCGCGCCAACTACTGCCGAGGAGGACTTACTCAATGTTGTTATTATTATTTTTTTGGGCCATGTAAGTGTATTAGTGGACTGATATCGGCAACCTCCACGAGGACAGATCTCTTCAAATAAGGCAGGAATCGGCCTGATATCGAAACCTGCCATCGGTAGTCTCTCATCCCTAACTGGAGTGCACGGAGCCATTCAAAGGCCTCATCCGAAGAGGGGGATGCACAAACAACGCAAACTGCTTGCAAATAAATTGTTTTTCATCGTTAACAGAATGTGGCCAAAGATTTTCTTGTATCCTTTGTTATAAGTCAACATGTTGCTGTTCTGCTCGACGAATGAAACTACACAGTCAAATCTTGGTACAGGATCTCCAAGTGTTTATTACAGTCGTACAGACAAATGTTTTCAAATCAGATTTCCACCAAATCTCAGAAAAATGGATGTACAGTGTATAAAAATAAATTAAGTCAGAAAATAAGAGAAACAAGAAACCTGAAGTGAGCCTTGGATGTTATTGAAATATAAATTACCATGAAATAAATGTAGGCAAGACAAACAGTTTGGTGACTGAAGCGCTAGCAGTTAGCGCTGGATGCGAGCCACTCAGTAGGAATGCCACGAATTCCGCTGCTTGCAGTTAACATTGGGGGTGAACCCCGCAGTCTCTATTCTGCAAATTTTCACCCATTATGAGTTGGCCTGGAACGTATAACCCCCCCCCCTTCCAGATAAACCAGGATTCACTGTGAAATTGATCACTTTGATTTACTTGCGGTTAGCCAAAAATGATTAGCATGCTCAAGGAAGGTTCCCAACCTTTCGAATTTTCTCGAGCTACTTTCCTTTTTTTTTTTCATATTTGGTTGACCCTCTGCCGAAGGAGTTCCAGCTGCCTTGCCACCTCGTCGGGAAGGTCGTCGTTCACCTGCGTGGTGAAGAACTTCCCGATCTCTTCCACCTCCTTCTGCCAGAAATCCCGGTCCAGAGCAAAGAGCTGTTCCAGGTCCACTGGCTCCCTCAAGCCATCCAGGTGTAAGGAATGACGGCACGGTAGGTAGCCCACGGCGGAGGGCATCGCTCCGGTCTCGCCGTTCAGTCGGCGGAACATCCAATCCAGGATGCGGATATTTTCCCCAAAACCGGGCCAGAGAAAACCAGCGGTGGGGCTTTTGCGGAACCAGTTGACGTGGAAGATCTTGGGCAGCTTGACATTGGCTCGCTCCGCCATGCTGAGCCAATGCGACAGGTAATGACCGAAGTTGTAGCCGAAGAAGGGGCGCATGGCGAACGGGTCGTGCATGATCTCCTTGCCTGGGACCGGGAATGAGGGCGAGTCAGTTGACTACCATTCTTGGTACGACTTCTTGGCATTCGGTGGGATTAGGTCACGTGCGCAAGTCTGAACGTTTGAGTTCCCGAGCGTCTTACAAGACCTACCTTTGTGTTCCGCCGCGGCAGTAGCCTCCGAACGCATGGCGGCTCCGACAAAGACGCCGTGCTGCCAGCTGAACGCTTCGTAGACGAGCGGGACGCCTGAAAACCAGAAAGATACCTTTAGTTATGGACATTACCGATTTCTTAAGGCTCCTTTGACATCTAAAGTATAGTTTGATTTCTCTGGTCCAAATTTGTTCATGATCTGTAAACTTGATTAATTCATTGTATTCAAGTTGCTTTTACAAGAGAACTGGGACAAACTTGAGAAACTGCAAATGTCTCGGTATTCTCTTGGTGGAAGAAGAAGAGGTAGCTGGAGACAAGGAAGTCTTGGCTTCCGGATACGTGGAAAAAAATGTATGGAGGCGCAATGCTCATATTTCTCAGACCGCAAACAAAAGCCAGCCACAGGACTCCTCTGGGGTCAAACCTGATGCCATCATGTGCTGCTTGTACCAGATCAAGTTTGGATTGCTTTTACAACTGTTAAGAGTAAGAAGTAGAAATCTAAATTGAAACTGCACCAAGACCTCGTATACGCCTGAAGGACGAGGTTGAACCCAAGAGAATTTGACTGGAAACAGGAAAGTTTGGTTTCCCTAACTGACACCTCCCTCCCCTCCACGTCCCAGCCGCAAATAAATGCAAGACTACGGATGAATGGCTATCTGTAATGTTTCACTGCCTGACAGAACGCAGAGGACGGCACCAGGAGTCCAATCGGGGTAAATTGTAGCAAACCGGGCTGAAGCTCACGCAAATCCGATCTGGAACTCAGACTCTTTCCGACTCACCCTCGGGCCGGCGGCCCCCAAAGATGATGGCTTCGATGGGGACGCCTTCGGGTGATTCCCACAGTGGATCGATGATGGGGCACTGATCGGCAGGAGTGCAGAAGCGGGAGTTGGGGTGGGCGCAAGGTTCTCCTAAACAAACCGGGGGGAACGTATCCCAAGTCATCGTCTTGCATTTTGGGCCTTTTCTGCTGTTTTCACCATCTCTCACCATCCTCTGGGCTCCAAGGTTTGTTCTTCCAGGAAGTAACAGTGACGCCGTCGGGCAGAACTTCGTCCATGCCCTCCCAGCGCACGCCTCCGTCGCTGGTCTCCGCCACGTTGGTGAAGATGGTGTTCTTGGCAATGGTGGCCATGGCATTGGGGTTGGTCTTGGCGGAGGTGCCGGGCGCGACTCCGAAGAAGCCGTTCTCCGGGTTGATGGCTCTCAGGCGACCTCGTGAGAAGGGAACGACGGGAACAATAAGAAAACGAGACGTGGGAAAGGGGCGGCGGGCGGGCTCCTGTGACGGTTCCTCACCTTGGCGGTCAAACTTCATCCAGGCAATGTCGTCTCCCACGCACTCCACCTTCCAGCCGGGTAGCGTGGGGCTCAGCATGGCCAGGTTGGTCTTCCCGCAGGCGCTGGGGAACGCCGCCGCCATGTACTTTTTCTGGCCCGCGGGGTCGGTGACGCCCAGGATCTGAGCGACACGCAAGTTGGGTACCGATTCTGCAGGGTGGGTTCTGGCGGGCAAACGAGAGCGTTGGGCGTTTTACCAGCATGTGCTCTGCCAGCCAGCCTTCCTCCTTGGCGAGGCGCGAGGCGATGCGCAGGGCGAAGCACTTCTTGCCGAGCAGGGAGTTCCCGCCGTAGCCGCTCCCGAAAGAGACGATCTGCCGCCGTTCCGGGATGTGGGCGATCAGGGTCTGCTCCGGGTTACAAGGCCAGTTGTTCACCAGCGGCCCTGAAGACAAGGCGACATGCGGCCTTACTTCCTCGGAGGAGGCCTCGAGCCGCGCCGTGAGAGAAGTCCACATACTTTGAAGTGGAAGCGGGCAACCGACAGAGTGCAGACAACGAACGAAGTCGTCGGTCCCGAGGGCGGCCAGAACCGCCTTTCCCATGCGGGTCATCACCCTCATGCTCGCTACCACGTAGGGCGAGTCCGTCAGCTCCACGCCAATCTTGGACAGCGCCGAGCCGACCGGTCCCATGCTGAAAGGGATCACGTACATGGCGCGGCCCTTCATGCAGCCCGGGAAGCGCCGAGCGACGGCTTTGTCGAATTCCTCCGGGGACATCCAGAGGCCCAGCTGGCTCACGCCGCCCTCCGCGGGCGTCGGCACCGCGTCGTGGCGGTCACGGGTCACGATCACCGTCCGGCTCTCCACCCGGGCTACGTCCCGAGGGTCTGTCCTGGCCAGCCAGCTGCCGAGGGGACAAAGTATTGAAACACCTCCAAGGAGTGAAAAGTGAAGTAGATGGACAATATGGACAAAGTACTCGGTCGAAAGCATCGGCAAAATTTGAAAAGAAAAGGATTCGGGCACCAACTGCGGAGTTGCTCCAAAGTATTGGCAAGCGTAGCGGACGTGACGAGTAAAACTGAGCACTTTGGACAAAAGCATCGAGACGTGGACAGCAAGCGAAAAGTGACGAAAATGCGCCAAGTCCAACAAAAGTGTTGGGACAAACGGGAACAAAGGTATTGGGACGGGACGTGGGTGAAAATCTTACAGAACTCAAACGAGAGGAAAAAAGTGGAATCTGGACAAAAGTATTGGGACACGAAAAGTGAAGGAAATGCGGGAATTGTTTGCTGTTGCGAGGGGATCGTCCTGACTGGTTTGACTGGTTTTCTTTCCGCTCTGTTGTACACGAACAAGCAAAACATCCCGGAGAGCCTTGACATTCCAAATTGCGTGCAGGCTTTGAACATTTTGTGCACTTGGCCTACCAGTTGTGATACTTGCGCAACTTCTTGATCATGCCCTGCTCCTCCAGCCGGGCCAAGATGGCGCGGTTTTCCTCGTCGGAGCCGTCGCAGATGTGGAGGGCGTCCGGCTGGCAGAGCGTCACGTTGGCCTCCACGAACTCCCGGACGGCCGGGCTGAGGGCGCTCAGTTCGCCCCGCAGCACCCGAGGCGCGTCTCGCTTCGGAGACTGTAGCTGAGGAGGCATGGCGATGGACTCTGAAGGGGGGCACGGTGCGGGGTCAAAGACGTCGTGACAAACATTAACTTAGAAGCTAACTCTAGAAAGAAAAAAAAAAAAAAAACAACTAACCACCTCAATTAATGAAGAAGTGGCATATCAAACTGACTTGACAACGAATCGACAAATAAAGTAACCAACAAGTAATACCAGTCACCGGTCACTAACTACCTGACGACAAACTTCAAGTGAGCCGCGATTGGTTGTTACCTGAGCCCTGAGCAACTTGATGTCATTTTCAGTTGACAGAAAGATGGCTAAAAACAGGTGCATTTTGCTGCTTATCTCCTATTCTACAAACAGAATATTCATCAGAACGCCGTGTTTCAATTAGCGGAGGCACGTAGAACATGTTATTGGAAAGAAAACATTGGAGTTGACTTCCCCTTGAAGAAACCGAGAAAATAAGGTGACAAGCGATAACGCATCATGTAGTATGGAAGAAGTGCGGGGACTGACCTGAATTGTTATCGGGTTTCCGTTGCTTATGGTGAGCTCATCCAGCGTTTGTGCGCCTATGTGTGTCTCACTAAGGTGCGCTCTTTTTATCCTCTGGGACGTCCCTCATGAAGGTGTGGCCCGGCCCGGCCCGGCCAGGGTTGCGGGGGGGGGTCTCCCGTGCGTCTGGACCGCTTGTTCTTTTCGGGATCAATGATTCATTCCAGAACCTTTAGGCCGCTGACGGAAGTGGTTTGATGAAAACTTTACAGCCTATTGATTATTGATCATCTTATCTGCGGCCCCCGCTGCCGCACAGATAAAATATCCCATGATGAGCAGCGCTTGCCTTTGAACTTTGACCCACTTTGACGTAAGTTGATGGCATGACTCCGTCACCGGATGACCCTGGGCGTCTTCTTACCTGAGCCAATCGAAAAGGGAATAGCATCCATGTATGTACTGTATAGCACGTATTGTTTGGATCAATTCATAGATAGAAGAATATTGTTTTTGTTTTTTTGCACATTTGGTTGTTTATGAAGTCATTCATTTATTATTTATTTGTTTATTTGTTTGTTCGTAAATCAGTCCATTTATTTATTTTTTGTTTGGGAGATGGTTAGTTAGTTAGTTAGTTAGTTAGTTAGTTAGTTAGTTAGTTAGTTAGTTAGTTTGCTTACTCACTTCTTAGTATGTCCACTATTTAGTTATTTAGTGAGGTAGGCGGGTCACTATCTAGTTTGTTAGTTTGCCAGCTCGCTAGTTCATTTTTCTTTTGGTTAGTTCGTCAGTGGTATTTATTGATGCATGTATTTATTTGTGTCTAGATTTCTTTATGCGGGGCAGTGACTCAACAGATGCAGCATCTTAAGCTGTCTTGGGGTGCGTGACAGTTGGCACCCACTGTGGTCATGTGCTTTAGCATCACCGCCGGTCGACGGGTGAACAGACTTGGCTCTCTGTGTCTTATTTACAGGCAAACAGGAAGGAAGGCGACCCGATCGCAACACGGTCACGCCAGCGATGCCACACACGGTGCGTGTTATGTAAGGCCCTCAGCGCTGTGGTTTATGGACGACACGCTCAATTGCATCATTCGTCAAGTTGTAAAAGAAAACACAAAACATCCTCTGAATCTTTACACCGCTCATTAAAAGACTTTGGAGACACTGCCAGTGCTGACATCAGCACAAGACATTGCAACTGGACTCACCGAAAGTCTATCACTTCAACAACACCGAACGTGATTCTGAAACGGAGCAATTTTTAACCCAGATAATTTTCAGTTCTACTTATTTTCAATCCATTTTTTTTTTTATTCAAAGGATTTCAAGCTGTCATCATTTTGAACCGTGAACTTAGTTTGTTAGCTAGCTTGTAACTCTGTTTTTTCATTTGTTAGTTAGTTGGTTTTTCCGACAGTTTAACAGATCGAGCAGTTTGTTCATTTGTCACCTGGCTTATTTGTTGAGTAATTTCTTAGCTCGTTTGTTCAATATTACGTTAACGACAGTGAGCTTGTTGTTCAGTAATGGGTTAGCTAGTTAGTCAGTTTGTTTGCTATTTTTTTTTTTACCATACTTTTGATTGTTTATCACTTTGTCAATGAGTGACTTCTTTTGTTAATAGGTTTGTTAGTTGGTCAGCTAGTTAGTTTGTTCATTTATTTATCAGTAAGTGTTGGTCAAAAACTAAGGTAAGCGCTTTGACACTCAGCGTTTAGCCTCTTGACTCCAACATCAGCATCCACGACATGCACATCAAACAGTGTTGAAATGCAAACACAAGTCAACGGAGAACACGCACACGCATACAAGGTTGCTGACGTCAACGTGTGGATCAAGGTGCACATTTTACCACTGATGCGCAAGTAGCGGTACAGTATATGGCTCAATCAAACATGTTGTTCATGTCAACTTTTTTTTCTGGGAATATTTTCTGTGCACGCATACATTGTATTAAATTTATTCTTCAATCATGAATCCATCCGAGGTTGGACTGCAGCCTGAATTATCAATGCGTACTTTGTCAAAAGGTCTCATTATGGGTTCTAAGACTTCAGTCTAAATTCTGTGATTTTCACTTGCCGTACATGCTGTACTATTGTCCAAGAGCCATATTTTCACGTTTCGCTTCTTGTAGGTGTCCCAATGCTTTTGTCCGTAACAGCTGAGCCCGTCGAATTCATCTACATTTGATAGGAGCGCCACTTTGAGTTCATCCTGTGCGACGACCTCTCTTTTGATTGACAGGTCAAAGTTGACTCTTTTGTGTCTCACTGTTGCCATGGTGATATCATGTAGCCACGGTGACAGGAAACAGGTTAGTCTGTGTGTCACTTACACACACATGTAACATGAGCCGGCCCGGGAGGCACTACACCACATCACACACACACACACACACACACACACACACACACACACACACACACACACACACACACACACACAGTAGGAAAGATGGCAGAGGAGACGCGCTGTGAGCCCGTTAACTTTGTACATCAGGATGAAATATGGTAAATATATTTTGATAATGATTATGGGAATATCCGCGGTTATATGACTGTGTGTGCACGTGTGTTTGTTTGGGTGCGTGGAAGTGCAGGAAAGCACATGTCAATGCAGAAAGGGATTCGGCAGATGTGTGGCCAAATAAGTGGGGTTTCCTCACACACCTTTACGAGGAGGTACGGCCATCAATGTGTGTTTGTGCGCGTGTGTGTGTGTGTGTGTGTGTGTGTGTGTGTGTGTGTGTGAGTGACCTTTTGCTTATTTCAGTATGAGGTGGACAGCATTAATTTGAAGAAAGCATCTTCAGTGGAACCTCCCAAACAACCTCCAAGTCCTCCAGAGGTATGAACATTTAGCTACCAAGTTACCAATGTACCTATTAGCAACCTACCTATTTACTTCCCACCTCTTGTACGAGAACCTACCGACTAATTAATTTTGGTACCTAGGTGCTCACCTACCTAGCTAACGATCTAGCTACCTAATTGGCAATCATAGGCCACGACTTTTTGCAGCTCTAATTATATCTCCCACTATGAGACATTTAAGTGACAAAAATATTCACAAAATATCAAGAAAAAATCTTCTCTCATTCTGATTGCTGCAGTAAATCATGGAATTGCTAGGTTAATCCAACAAGTTCGGTGTGCAGTTTTTCTTTTCACCACACGGTGACAGCATTTTCTGAGAATATGTTTGACAAGCGCACCGTTTGTCCACCTTGGGAGATAGCAGCACTTTTTGTGGTGTCATAAATAGAGGCCTACCACTGCCAAATAGAACAGCAAACAGAATAAGAAAGGGTGTATTAAAAGATTCCTGGTGAACATTATTTTGTCACTTCAGTGTCCCATTTCTCCATCATGAGAGATATCAGCAAAATTAAGCTGAAGTAGGTAGTCGTCTAGCACTGTATCGTACCGCAGCAGGAGAGATGGGCAACTGGTGGCCCCTGGATTATAATTTTTTTTAAAAGTATTATTTTATTTTATTTTTTTAAACTGAAAAGCCCCAAAATAGTCAAAAACACCGAAAAACACTCAACATACGTTTCCCATGGAAAAAAAATATATATATTCGAAAAAGAAAAAACAACCTCCAGGTATGACATTGTAAATTGCAATATCACCACTAGATGGGATCCCAATCCAAACAATGTCCCAAACTACCTGACTATAACTGCCTTACCCACAGTACCTTCCTACGTCCTCCCAATTGACCTAAAGTCTTTGTACGTCGTCAGGTTGGTGCCTCCCCCCCGGTGCCGCAAACCAGTCAGGCAGTGATTGGCTGGCGTTCAGCCCATGCCCATCTTGGTCTGGAAATGTCTGGCATGCTGCAACACGGCCGGCGCAGTTTTCTCAAGGAGCTCTGCTGGCCTCGACGGGTCTAACAGGAGGCAGATGAACTGCATTGGGTTCTTTCTTTTTCGTTAAGTTTGTTGCATCTTATACAGTATCAAGCTTTTGACGAACAAGAGTTCTTGCGTTGTTACAGAAGCCTTATTCCTTTTTATGTCCTAGCCCTTCAAATTCCATGATTTTTGTTCAATGCATATGTCGGAAAAACAGTATCAAAAATAGTGTCTTTTTATAGAGCCTACAGTATCTTCAGTACAATACCACATTTTTTTTCTATTGTTAATGTAAAAAATACATTATTGCAAAGTTTAAAGAGCAAAAGTCGGAAATGGCATCAGCCACAAATAAGTTTCATTACATTTGTATTAACACATATGTTTTTCAATAATAATAATAACAGTAATAATAATAAAGCAAGTAAGGGGACACAAATGGCCAGCATACAATGTTAATTGTATAATGTTGGTGGGTGTATGTTATCCATTTAGCATTTAACTTTTGGAGGCCTTTCTGTAAGAAAAGCTATGTGAAATGACGTAGGTTTGACTTATTTGACGGCGGTGGTAATGTTTTGACCGGCATGGAGCCTGCAATCAACTGTTATGCAAAGTAAACAACAATTCACTTGATCGTGCATTCGTTGTTAATTTTTTTTTTACTTAATTTATTTATGATCGATTATTCATTATTAATACATCTAATTCATTTCATTTCCACCTGTAATGTTGCTTTGACGGTGAATCACATATCATCTTTTGTTGTGGTGGTGACTCGGTCACACCTGTCCACTTTGGGCGGGAAACTTCCTTGGTGAGTCACGGCTCGGCGTTGACGTCATGACATCGTGAGACCCGTATGGAAAAGGCGGAAGTACACGGAAAACAACATCAGCGACACCAGCGCCAGGTCGCCAGGCACTTTCGACTCTACTCGGCTCGGCTGGGCGGCCAGATTTAGCCACGAAGGGGAAAAAAAAAGGAAAGCTTGAACTTTATTTCTTTACTAACACAATCGTCTTGGGTCCACAAGCATGTCGCTGTTCGGAAAGTGGTTCGGCACCGGCGGCGGGGGTAAAAGCGGCAAGGGGCCCACACCCCAGGAGGCTGTCCAGAAACTCCGAGAGACCGAGGAGATGTTGGCAAAAAAGCAGGAATTCCTCGAAAAGAAAATCGAGCAAGAAATCATGACGGCCAAGAAGCATGGGATGAAGAACCAGCGAGGTGAGGGGGCCCGAAAAAAACGGCCCGCAGTCGCTTTCGTTCATCACCTCGTTAGCACGCAAGCTAACTGGACGTCGATCCATTTTTAAATCACCTTGACAGGCGGCGGCGAAAGAAAAAAAAAAAAAACCTTGGGAAAGTACTCACACTGCACCTAAATGAATATACTCACGCTTTACGCGAGTAAAAGTACAAATGGTTGTCCAAAAGAGAAAGAAGGGCAAACAAATTCGACTTCTTTGTTTAAAGTGCAAATGTACTATAGGACTGCAAGCTGCAGCTAACAATTATTTTTAACAATTTATTAATTTGTCGTTTTGGGGGGCACTAGTCGGTGAATCGGATTAAAAACAAACTTTAACCCGCCTCAAAACTCACTTGTATTCTTTGGCATTTGACTCAGCGTGACTTAGATTCGTTCTTGGTTTTGCTGTTCGGTGCTTTCTACCGTCTTTATTACCGATTTGCTTTACTGTTTGTTGTATATGTTAAATTGCTCCATGTACAGCACTTTGTATGCAGCGATGGCTGTTTGAAAGTGCTCGAGAAATACACTTGAGTTGAGTTTAATTCCTATACCGATATTCCGTACCAAAATTAGCAAAAATGCTCATCATTGTTTTCTCAAGTGAAAGCAGATGTTTTTTTGCGTTTGCCATGTGTTCGATGAACAGCTTCTTCCGTTCTCCTGATGGCGACATACACATTCTACTACCTACCGTGACACATACTCAGATGATACAGGACTCGGTTTGAGCTGCCCAAACCTGTCCAACTTCCAACATGTTGGCATTTTTCTACCTCATGATCAATAGGACTTGCTGATTTAACCTCCAATCTTTATCTTCAACACAAAAGCTATGCTGATCCCCAAGCCAAAGCAATGCAATGTCGCCGTTTGCCAAATGTTCACAGCAGTCAATGAGTTCATTGTTTGTCATTCGGGACGATATGAGCGACCTCAACTGTACGACTTTCTTTGAATGTACAGCATTTTCGAAGCACCATTTTTAATAATGTTCTTTCATAGTCCTACGAAAGCGGTAAAAATATCATCTTCACTAGCAAACATAACATTTTCCCCAACTCCAAACTTAAAGCAAATAATAAAAGAAAATATTTACACCTCTGGCAAATTAAATATGATTTTTAAATATGTTAATATTGTTGATACTTCAGGATGTGAACAAGGTTCTTATTAATTTTTGTGTTGGACACCCAAACGGTTTCTGAGAAATTATTATGATTATTTTCTGGATCATGTCAGTCGGTCAGTGGGTAGCAAAGGAATGCTATAGTGGAAATGGTGATCATTTAGCAGAGTTTTGCCTGCCTTGGGCAATATGGAGTCTTTGTTTGGGCTTCCTTTCAAGCACCTATGGTAAACCTCTCACGTGCTACGTCAGCTGCGCTATTTAGACGTGCAGGTGGGGGGGAACTTGAATTTCGACATAGCTAAATGGCGACGGACAAGCTTCTTTGAAAAGCGGTATCATACCAACAAAATGACGCCTCACATGACGGCCGCTCGACAAACACGAGCATGCAGTGGAACCTCTCGGGTAGGAGGTTGGCTGAGCCGTGTGGCCTGAAAGAAAATGCCACCAAAAAAAAAAAAAAAAAAATGTTGATTCATGTGAAGATGTGATGTTGTCGAAGTCAAGCAAAATGCACTCATGTTTGCGGGATGCGCATCATGTTTCGACTTTTGGTTTTGTTTTTCGGTCCACTCCTCTTTTTAGTCTTTCCAGTCAACCAGGGCATCCGTGCTTGTCTTTTCAGATGTTGTTTGGCCCATTGGCCCACTCGCTCAGCCTAAAAGCTGCTGCCATACGTTTTAATCAGATGAGGTTTAATCTGATTTAAAAAAAAAAAAAAAAAAAAGAGTCCTGCCTCACTGGGATTACAGTCTGTTCTGTCTGCCGAGGCACATGTGTTTCCTTCACAATTTGCACAGGACGTTTTGGGAGAAATCAGCATTTAGATGGTGTTGTCAGAGTATGTTTTTTTTTTTTTTTTTATGTGTGCACTCCAGTCCTGATCCCGATCTGTGTTGATGGTGACGATGTAAATTTGTCATGAATCCATCCCAGACCTCTAAAACATAATGCCAGAGAATGGAAGGAATTGTAAGAAAAAAACTGGTCTGTTTAGATTTAAAAAAAAAAAAAAAAAGGATAGCTGCATGATATGTACTGAATGAAGTATTTGTATGCTGGATATGGGCCTTGAAGGGTGTGGCCTATTAAGAGCCATCAGCAGATGGAGGCGGTTAATCTGCATGTGAGCGTCTAGTGATGAGCCGTGGCCTACATCAGCACCTTGCGAGTCTTGTATTTGTGTTTTGACTGTTTTCCTGCTTCACTAAATACGACCGTGGCTCTCCTTGCCTACATGCGGGCACATCACAGTATCTTTAATTGCAATTTTTTTTTTTCAATTGACTCGCAACTCAATTTTTAGCTCGCAAAAAAACCCCAACAAAAAACAGTTGTTTACTACTTGACCAGCCGTAACTCCTTCACTACTTTACTTACTTTCTCGCTTGACTTTACGATCCCCGCAGCGGCACTGCAGGCCCTGAAGAGGAAAAAACGCTACAGCAAGCAGCTGGAGCAGATCGACGGCACACTGTCCACCATCGAGTTCCAACGGGAGGCGCTCGAGAACGCCAACACCAACACGGAAGTGCTGAAGAACATGGGCTTCGCCGCCAAGGCCATGAAGGCCGCGCACAAAGAGCTGTGAGAGAACGTGCACGCACACATACGCGCATGAACAGGAATGGTTTATGTGTATGTAAAACGGTCGATTTATAATATGTTCTCATTTTCAAATTCATATTTTTAAAACAAGTAGTTTTTTGTGAGCGTGCGCGTGAGGGAAATGAAGACCACGTCGGTGTTAGTGTTGTGACTTTTGCGCGCGTGTCGGACGACAGGAACGTCGACAGCGTGGACGACCTGATGTCGGACATCATGGAGCAGCAGGAGCTGGCGCAGGAAATCACAGACGTCATTTCCAATCCCATCAGTTTCGGCGATCAAGTGGACGAGGTACGAGCGTTGCATCTGCTTTTCACTGCGGTGACGTTTTTTTTTTTTTCCTCTTGACACAAACGACTTGATTCCTCAGGATGAGCTCATGGCCGAGCTGGAGGAGCTGGAGCAGGAAGAGCTGGACAGGAATCTGCTAGACGTGGAAGGAACGCCGGACGTCACCCTGCCCAGCGTCCCGGCCACATCGTTGCCGTCCAGACCAGGTGTGGGTCTGCTCATGTTCGACGCCTGCCAAATTTCATGTTGCAATGTCAAATTGGCCTCAAGCTACATTTAAAAAATGAATAAATAAAATGTCAAATAATCCAGGACACGCTACTAACAGTTGTGAAACTTTTTTTTTTTTGCAATTGAGCACTAAATGGCCGCTTTAGAACCAAAATGGCGGATTTAACTGGTTGGTTTTTTGTGGGGTGCGGGGGGGGGGGGGGGGGACGGTATCCCTCAAAACGTTTTTTTTTTCGTGCGTCTACTCATGATCGTTATGTCTACCGAATTCCATGTGGAATTTTCCCCTCAAAAGTATATAGGCTGTGCGACCAAGAATTCTTCAACTTTTTCGCAAGTGAGCACTAAGTGGCTGCTTTCCAACCAAAATGGCAGACTTCATTTGTATGCTGGGCTTCTTCGGGTCTTTTTGTGGGTCTCCTCAGGATAGACATGTCTACCAAATTTAATGTCGCCAAGTAAAACTTGAGGGACAAACTATTCAAAAACCATTACTATGAAGAAATGAAGTCATTTCAAGAGGGCAAAATAACCCTGAAATGGCTTCCTTGAGCCAAAATGGCCACCTTCCTATCTTTTCAGGCATAGCTTTTTGAGACTTTTTTTTTTTTTTTTTTGTCTCCCCTAATGTATTACAATGGCGACCAAATTTCACGTTGCTAAATCAAACACTTTTTTGCGGGCCACCTGAGACAAACTTGTGATGACCTGTTAGGAGTTTGAGCTCCGCGATAATGTTGCCATTGGTGTTATTGTTGCGTTTCAGCCAGGAAGAAGGAGGAGGAAGACGACCTGGACATGGCCGACCTGCAGGCCTGGGCCACCAACTAAACTCAAGCGGACCACCGTACCTCCAGCTGACAACCATCCTGAAGTATGCACTCATACCGACCTCCCATCATGCATATTTTTCAGGTGGAAGCGGTCAATGTGAACAATGAACTCATTTGTGTGCACAGGTGGTTCCATCCAAAACCACAACAAGTCGTAATATTTGCCCTCCTTATCGTTTGGAAAACAAAGAGAGAGAAAAAGGAGAAAAAAAAGAGAGAGAGACATTTAGGTGACAATGGAAGATGCAGGAGCTGATGTCCCGTTCTGACTTGTCGGGAAGTTTTATAATCTCGCGCTTCAAACTGTGCTGTTCAATAAACAGGACCAAGCCGCCAAAAAAATGTCACTTTACGTGTATTGGAGAAGGTCGCAATTGATGAGCACGCCAGTCTTCAACCTCGACAGGCAATGTGTCCGAAAATGGATGTCAGCATGCAAGATGCGTCACTTTGACAGTTTGCTGTGTGAGGCCTTTTTGTGGTGTTTTGTGTATACAAATGCTGTTTTCGAGAGTGCGTGTTTGTAATCATTTTTTTTCATCACTGACTGTGTGTGTGCGCGTTTGAATGTGCAGCCAGCAACGCGATTTACAACGAGCGTGTCTCAATCAATGATCAATCCAAAGTGAAACATTGTCCACTTTGCGATTGATCCATCATTGGCATAAACAAGTTCAAGGTCCAATTGCATTACGTGGAAACGATCCACTTAAAGAGTGGCCGGATCAGTGGAAATGGTGAAGGGTTTTCGTTTGCAAATGCAAAAAATTTGGCTCAAATTTGAGTTAAAAAATCAAATTGCCACAAAGTGCATCTTGTCATACCTCAAATGAAAGTTCACGATGAGAGCTCTCCTGATCCAGGATTGCTTTCACAATACACCCTCAGTTAATACAGCAAGGACCTTCCCAAAACCTTGTATCAAATTCGGTTGTACCAGTTCAAAAATCAAATTGCAAGAAGCTGTATGGAGTCACACCTCAAATGAAAACTCATGATGTGAGCATTCCTGATCTGTGATTAGCCTCTCAATGTACCCTTATCTAGTATAGTAATGATGCCTGAAAAACGTGATCGAATTTGAGCTGTACCACATCAAAACTAGCTCATTTTATAATGTAAAGACCAAAAATGTTTTTATCAAATTTGGGTCAAACATGTAATTGCATTGAGTGGACATCAAATTGAAGATCGTGGTGATCCTGTACTTTCCGAGCAGTGATTATCTTGTCATTCTGCCCTCACGTTATGAAACAATAATACCCCCAAAAGTATTCATTTATTTATTTTTTGTGACACAGCGGCAAACTTGAAAGATATGAGTGGAAGAGGCAGCTGTTCACAGCGTGATTGCTGACCACAGCTGTGTACTGAAAATGCAATGTTTGGTTGCACTGATTTTATTTGCCCCAATAGTCAAAAATCAGCACTCTGTAACAGCATTTTTAAGGCAACTTCGTATATTTCAGTAATTTGTAAAGCACTCCGTAAATGATACATCGATCAGGAGCATGTTTATTTCTTTTTACTTGTATTGATGAAAGAGGTGGCTCTCTGCCATTATTTTACCCCGTTTGGTGACGGAGGTTGCTTTGACGTTACTCATCCACTAGATGTCCCTAATTTAGTTTTCACTGAAACATCAACGCCGCGAATCTGGTTCAGCAGAATTAAGGAAAGCCTCAAAGATTCATGAAGCTTCACCCGCCCATCTCTAAATATGAGTTGAGCAGCAAAATCCAATCTGTTTTTGTCCATCTCGGTGGGCGGCCATTTTCTCGCTTGCTGTTGACTGAAAATAACATCATTCACCATAAAAGTAATTGAACACCGCCGTTAAATTAAACGTGTCGTAAAAAGCGATTAAATGAGCTCAAACTCTCAATTTTACACACCCAACTGGTTGTCGCATCCATAGGCAGCACCTGAACGCATCAGTCCAAGGGGCGTCTCTGCTCCACCTACCCGACCAATCACGTCACATGTATTTGGGGCGATGTGCTCCTTTAGCCAATGGGAAACCATAATTCGCCCTCCAAGCAACGCCCCCACGCTTGTCAAGCACCGAGGAAGCGTCCGCGTGCATAAAAACCACGGCGACATGATTGGGTTCCTCCTCTCCGTGCCTTCTCGTCGGCCAGGCTGCTGCCACTTCCTCCAACTGAGCTTGACCAACACAAACTTGCAACCATGTCTGAGAAACTTCCCTACAAAGTTGGTCAGTCTCGAATTTAGCTGTTTAGCCGTCCTTTTTAAGTCGACTTTTGCGCGTGCGGTGATGTGTGCTTTATGCTTAGTTAGCTCGCTAGCATGAGCAAGTGGCACAATACTACGAGATCAGAAAAAGCTTTTTTTATGCTATAAAATCACATTTGTATCGACCTGATTTCTTTACACGCTAGCATAAACGCTCCATTTGTTGAATTGTAAAGCGTTTTTGTATTGAGGTCGTGTTGGAGTATTATTTTTGAATTTTTCGGGGAACAGCTGTTTGTTCCATTCCGCAGCGTGTGAATGATTTTGAAACGAGTCGTGACGTCGAGGCGAACAGTCGCGTTGGATTCCGGATGTTGTAGTTTCTGAGTGAGGCTAAGCGCAACGGCTCATTTGCATACGAACTTCATCTCCCATGAATCAGCGCGCCATGCTCCCTCCCCGGCGTGATTGACGGCGGCAGACTGTCGTAATGCCGCACGTGCTACCACCCCCGAAATAAAAAAAATCAAATGAAAATGTAAAATATTGGTAAATATAAATTTAGCTATTCATTTTCCTGACATGATATCAACAATTATACCTTGAAAGTATATTAAAGTTGGTAATAATGGAAACTGATTTGGGTTAAAGGCACAATCAATAAATGGAAAATATTTATCCGTTTACAGGATATGAATTAATGTATGCGTGACCTTTTTCCTACTTTCTTATATTGTAGATATTTGTATTGTTTTGTTGTACGGCAAGTTCAAAATTAATTCGTTTTTATTTCATTTGAGTAAACCTATAGGCTTATTTCTGAAGCAAGTTTATGATTTTCAAATATTTTATTACAAGTACTTTCTGCAAATATTTCGTATTTATCTACTGTTTCCAATGTTATTGACAACTGCCATTAAAGAAATACTACATATAAGGCCACTGCCGTCATTTCATGTTAGGTTGCCTTTTAATTGAGTCTTTAAAATGCAAATTGTAATGAATAAATTACATTTTTGAATTAGCACAAAAACTGGCGCCGACGTATTTGTGAATGCATCTGATCGTTTTGCATGTTCTGGAGTTTTGAAGAAAAAAAAAATGAAGTCATTCCTACCTCTGCACGGCAATGTCACATATAGCGCGGGCATAACAAAAATCTGTCAAAAGTATCAAGTAAGGTGAAAAATGTGCGTTGCTCAACAGCATGCGGTCAGATAAGAGCAAAGGGCCAAAGTCCACACTTCCGTCAAGACAACCTTGGTCCATGCGTCCGGCAACCCCGCTAGTGATTGATTTACTGCCTGTCAATCTGTCACTTGATGTTCTCCAGACCTTGAAAGAATTTTCCGTTTTGCTACTGGTTATATAGTGTGATATCAAAATATTGTTACTCCACATTTGCAGCTGTGCCCTTCCGTAGGAGCAAAGCTTTGTCAGCAACAACAAAAAAATTGAATCATTTAAAAGATAAAAAAAAAATCTGCCAACGTATTGCTCGCGCGTGCATGAGTTGGTGAAAATTTTGTTGCATTGGCTCAAATTTCAGTCACAAAATACCACAATTTAGGGGCAGTCTGGTGTCCCGTGTTAGGAAAATTATTGTTAGTTCGAGCCGTAATTTGGACATTTTTATATGAAATGTCTTTAAATTGAGAGGTGTCATGATTAAGCAACTATTTTGAAGCTTGAAACGTTTAAAGCCGTTGTTGTCCTCCATACAAGCAGATTCGTTGACTTTGAGTTGAATCAAAAAGAGTCATTTGCAAACCATCTATGTTTACTTCTGAGAATTGCATTTTTTGGGGGGGTGGGGGTGTTATGAGCCAAAACAGCAAGTGATTCAAGGTCTATTTGTGTGTTTTGTGCGTGGTCAATTTGAAATAACATCCTGTTTTTCAAGAAGGGGATACAAATTTTGCGATTAATCCGATTCATCAATTAATCACCCCCCAAAAGTGGCAGAATGTGGGCTCCCTCACGTGGTATGTCAAGGAATTCCTTCCATCGTACAGTTGAGTTGCATGTGAGGATGTGATGACCCGCTCACTTTTATTTTAACCCCCGCGCTCCGTTCCTCAGCTGACATCAGCCTGGCCGAGTGGGGGCGCAAGGCCATCGACATCGCCGAGAACGAGATGCCGGGCCTGATGAAGATGAGGGAGCTGTACGGCGCCTCCAAGCCTCTGAAGGGCGCCCGCATCGCCGGATGTCTGCACATGACGCTGCAGACGGCCGTGCTCATCGAGACGCTCGCCGCGCTCGGAGCGGAGGTCTGTGCTCGCTCGGGCGATCCCTCTTCTACGGCTGCGTTTGAGCCTTTGCGTCTGCCTGTGTGTGTGTGTGTGTGTGTGTGTGTGCCGTGCGTGTGTGTGTGTGCGCCGTGCGTGAGGCCTTTTCCGGTCATGGAAGCTTCATCTCGGGTAAAGTGTTTGCCCCTTGAGGCGTTGCAGCTCAGCCGTCCATGTTGCAGCTGCGTCATAAGGTGGCAGAAAGCAAAAAGGCGGTCGGTCATCTGCCCTGGGTCGGCACAACAATTAGGACTCGGCGTCTTGTTGACCGCCAACATATTCCAGTTGCGCTGCACGCACGCATTTGGACATTTCATTGGTTTGTTTTTGCTCAGAAAAAATACCACGTATGTCTGTAGTTTTTTTTTTTTTTTTTTAATGAGGCCTCATAACGTGACTTTTTTTTTTTTTTAACAGCTGTTTTTCACCCATCTGAAAATTTCCACAAAGGAAACTTAACATACGCATCACTTTTTTCCTCCATCTGACCTGACTTGATTCTTGTCTGAAGTGTCTCACTATTTTTTCCCGCCCCCCCCCGCCTGCAGGTTCAGTGGTCCAGTTGTAACATCTTCTCCACTCAGGACCACGCTGCGGCCGCCATCGCCAAATCCGGCGTCCCAGGTAACCTCAAAAGGTTTTGCTTTACATTGTTCCTCCACTGCATCGTGGATTCGCAGGCCAGTATTTTGTAGGTCAAAGTGAACCCCTGCATATTTGCCATTAGGCATAAGCAAATTCACCTTTTCATCGATTTTTACTTCTTTTAAAGCCACCCATGGATGGTTTTTTTTTCCCCCGCCTGAAAAATGTAACTTTTTTTCAGGGCATTTATGAGGAGCCTTAATTTGTTGCGGATTTTTGCTGTTTGGCCTGGTCTCCGTCCCACACGAATAACGGCTGTCCACTGCATGAATGCATGCACCCCATGACAGCCACTTTTGTACGCCGCTCCCTCCCACGCAGTGTACGCATGGAAGGGCGAGACGGACGAGGAGTACATGTGGTGCATCGAGCAGACCATCTACTTCAAAGACGGACAAGCCCTCAACATGATCCTGGACGACGGGGGGGACCTCACCAACCTGGTCCACAGCAAGTACCCCAAGCTGCTCCAAGGTGAGTTTGGGCTTGAAACGAGGTCTTCTCAAACTGAAGGAGTTCATGTGACTAATAAAGCAAACGAATATTATACTCCGACGCTTTACATCCACTTGCGTGCATCTCAAACTGAAGGAGTTCATTTGTGTCATAAGTCACTGAATAATAAAGCAAAGGAATATTATACTCCGACGCTTTACATGCACTTGTGTGCCCCTTGGGGCGCCGCAGCTGTGTCAGAAGGCGGCAGAGAGCAAAAGGCAGTCGACCGCGATGACGATGCCGCGTTTTATTGAGCGCCGTCGCGCACCCGTTTGGGTCTCCTCCGTGAACGCGGATTCCCGCTCGCTCGTGTATTTACGCGTGGGGGGCGTGTGTCCGCCAGGCATCCGCGGCCTGTCCGAGGAGACCACCACGGGCGTCCACAACCTGTACAAGATGATGAAGAAGGGAGAGCTCAAGGTGCCTGCCATCAACGTCAACGACTCCGTCACCAAGGTAACAAACGCCGCAGCGCGTCCAATTTAATGTCCTCCGATTCCTGACCGTTCTCGATTTTGTACTTGCGCGTAAGTCGGGTGTGATAATGCTAATGCCGCTCGGTTGGTTTTAGAGCAAGTTTGACAACTTGTACGGCTGCCGCGAGAGCCTGATCGACGGCATCAAGCGCGCCACCGACGTGATGATCGCCGGCAAGGTGGCGGTGGTGGCGGGCTACGGCGACGTGGGCAAAGGCTGCGTGCAGGCGCTGCGCGCGTTCGGCGCCCGCGTCATCGTCACAGAGATCGACCCCATCAACGCCCTGCAGGCTGCCATGGAGGGTGAGCGGTTCGCCGCGTCACCGTCGCTTGGGTAGAAAGCCTTTCGGCGGTAGTTATTCGGAATTCTTCCTTCGTTAAGTCACAGTGTCCCATCACCGGTGAGCTATTTTTTAGAAGAGACCCGTAGGCGACTCGCGTTGTCCTTGGGGCTAACCGGGGCCTGCTGTTTTTATTTCAGGATAATGCTTTACAAACGACATAACAGAAACACGTCCGTGCGAGCGTGCCCCCACTCATCCCTGTCAGTGTAACTGCTTATCTCTCCCCTCTCTGCTCAGGAGAGGAGGAGACAAAAAGCTGCTGGCCTTCACTCATCTGAGGTGGCTATTTTGAGTGACTCCCTGTAGGCAGCCAATCATATTTGTGCATTGGTTTTGCATGCAGTTTGCAGCACATAACAAATGACCATAACACGCTAGTAGTAAAGGGGCCACGATCAAATGTTTTGTATCGTCTTTGCGAGATATAGCGTCGAGTCTCTCAGCTCTGTCGTCAGGTGTTGGCTGGCTCATTTCACATCTTTGAATAGAATTCATCGTTACCGTGGTCACATGCTCGATTGTAAGAGGGTGTGCAATGTTTCTTTTTTTTTTTTTTTTTAACTTCCATTTGAATTTTGCCCCCCGCTGTTTTCATTCAAATTATAAGTCGCAATGCAGAAAAATGATTTATTTGGAACCCCCTACCCCCTTTGCCCCGTATCACAAAAGCCAGATTTGATCCGGGGTGTGCACACTTGTCCTCTGCAATGTACGTTGCAGGCTTTGAGGTGACCACCATGGACGAAGCCTGCCAGGAAGGAAATATCTTCGTCACCACCACTGGCTGCGAGGACATCATCCAGGCACAGTAGGTGCAATTTTAAATTGTGCGCGTGTCATGAAAAATGGCCGACACTTCCACTCCCGCGCGCGCACACAACTAGCAAGTCTCCACTTAGGGGCCGAAACACGGCAACGTTTGATTCCGCCTGACTCGATACGTGCTGATTGTAAGCCAAATCAGTCCGGACCAACTTGGGTAGCCGTCCCGAGTCACAGCACCAGTTGTCTCCCATGTGACTGTGTTGGTGTTTTGCTTACATTTTTTTTTTCCCCCCTCCACCCCCGACAGTCACTTTGAGAGCATGAAGGACGACGCCATAGTGTGCAACATCGGACATTTTGACTGCGAGATCGACATGAGCTGGCTCAACGCCAACGCCGCGGAAAAGATCAACATCAAGCCGCAGGTAAAACCAACTGAGATTACAATAATCAACTCAGACATAATATATTCTTTGTCATCTGGAAAGAATTCATAACGGCGGCGCAAAGAAGCTCAGGCTGTGTATCTGGAAGGCTGTTCTACTGCCCCCAGGTGGCCACGGAAGGAGCGGCACAATGCCTCTTAAGTTGAAGCCACACATTTGGCAGATATTGTTTATCGTTGTTTTACATCGTATACTGTACGTAGCAGGAGTCTTTTTAAAATCACAAGTTTTCATGTCATTTGCATTGAATGCAGCCAACGTGGTTAAAAAAGGAAAGAAAACGGGGCGGACGCGAACGGCAAAAGAAAAGTGGAGAGCGTTAAGAAATGCTCGTTTTCCCTTTGTGCGCCGGCCGCTGCAGGTTGACCGCTACCGAATGAAGAGCGGACGCCACATCATCGTGCTGGCCGAGGGCAGGCTGGTGAATTTGGGCTGCGCCATGGGACACCCCTCCTTTGTCATGAGCAACTCTTTCACCAATCAGGTGCCTTGCCACATTCTTGCTCTTAAATCAGGCTCATTTAATAACCGTAAAAACATTTTTGTTCAAAAAAGAAACAGGAAAATGGATGAAAAGGAGCCGTATGCATATTACATTGCTTCTATCTGTTTGTGTTTCAGGTTCTGGCTCAAATCGAACTGTGGACTAACACTGACAAATATCCCGTGGGCGTCTACTTCCTCCCCAAAAAGGTCCGACTGCACTTGATGCTGCGTGATGTTCTCGAGTCACATTTTTGGGGGAAAACTAACGAGCTGCAAATTGATCGTGTTTTCAATACAAAGAATCTTTATTTGTATCGCGCTTTCACAACGAGATGTTGCGTGGAACCCAACAAATGTACTCAAATGGATTCAAAACCACTAAAGATGTACTTGGCGGACTTAATTGGGTGATTCTTTTCATGTATGTTTTTCTTGTTTGTGTATGCTCGCAGTTGGACGAGCAGGTGGCGGCAGCCCACTTGGACAAGTTGGGCGTGAAGCTGACCAAGCTGACTGACAAACAGGCCAAGTATTTGGGCCTCCCTACAGAAGGACCCTTCAAGCCCGACCACTACCGCTACTGATCCCGGCGGCCGCCGGAGAAAGCGTCCCGCTTGGGCGGCTCTGCTGTCGTTTGCTCTCCCTAATGGAATCGGATGAACCCTTCCCCCCGTATGGACCGTTAGCATTTTTAGCTAGCTAAGCACTTGCTGTGGCCTTCTTCCAGTTAGCACTTCGCGCTCACTAAGACCACCGCTGGGTCGGTCCAGTGAGGATGGATGACATGATTCCTGGCGAGGTTTTAATCTTTGACTGTAATTAATTTAATTTGACTTGACCCCTCTGCAACTGCGCCGACTCGGTCGCTCGTCAACATTGCGATGTTGCTGATGATTGTCAACAATAAACATGGTGACTTGACTTTTGTGTTCACTACCAAGGTGACTGCACATTTCATTTGCCTTAAAAGAAGGCACAGAATCCCTTTTTTTAAGGAGCTGTATACGTTTAACATCCCCACCCAGTATGTTTAGAATTTTTAGTACCACGGTGCCTTGACTTATGACAGGCTTGTCCTCTGAGCCATTTGGGCCATCTCCCGCTGGAAGCCACAAAACCATTTTGAGATTTGAAGTGAGGATAACTGTATTTCTTTAACATGGGTCTAAAAATTAGAGTGTGGTGTATTTCTAAAATCCTCTGAACCTCAGCGTGGGGTCGGGACGTCAGGATCTGGACATCATTCGGTATTTTTAGTGACCCCAAAAAGATTGTCACCAAAATCTTCGCATAGAGAGTTAGGTTTGAAAAACGAGCAAACTACAATAATAATGGAAAAGGTATTAAAAAATGGACGTACCATGTGTATGCATACAGTTAAGAGGTATTTGTACATAATTACAACTTGTCACCATGGAATGAAAGTACCCTGCTGACGTCACGCAGAGTATATTTATGTCCAGCAGGTGGCAGTGTGCGCTGTGAAATGTCAGTCACGAACCTAGATCACAACGTCATTTTGAAATATTACTCTTATCAAATTAATTGAATAACTGCACCCCATTTTAAAAAGTTCTTTTTCGATTATTTTTTTTTAATTCTTGAGAAAAAAATCCAAATGTACCAATTTGTGTTTTTTAATATAATTCGGGTAATGGATGGATGGAAAAGTCAAAAACATTTACTGTCTTATTTTATGTTCTTGTTTTTTTTTTTTAATGTATCACTGTATTGGCAAAAAGCAAACATTTTATTTTCGATTTTTATTAGATATGCTTTGTTAAATGTTTTATTTGAAACACTCAAAACATAAATATTGGTATCCGTTTTTTGTTTAATTGAAAAAGTCGAAGGGAACATGGACTGTCTTGTTTTATGTTATTGTTTTTTTTTTTATGTATCACTGTATTGGCAAAAAGCAAATATTTTATTTTCGATGTTTATTAGATATGCTTTGTTATTGTTTTATTTGAAACACTCAAAACATTAATATTGGGATCCATTTTTGTTTAATTGAAAAAGTCGAAGGGAACATGGAGGATGAGCTTCAGACAAGCCTTTTAAAATAAATAAATAAAATCTCCGAACAGCATCCCGTGGGACTCCATTGAAAAAGTCGAAGGGAACATGGAGGATGAGCGTCAGACAAGCCTTTTAATATAAATAAGAAATAAAATCTCCGAACAGCATCCCGTGGGACTCCACTTCAATGAGAACTCTGAATCTGTTCGTGATAGTGAACTCATGCTGCTTTGGAAAATTGCAAACCGACCGACTGGGCCCGGCCTCGAAGGCAGACGTCTTCAAGTCCTCAAATGGACTGTCATGCTGTTTGCGTTGACATCATAGATGTGTGAAATGTTGTCCATCGAGGCATCCATTGCAGTCGGGCGACCCCTTATCCGGGGTCCTTTCTCAAGGTTTCTTTCTTCTTTTTCCCAAATGGGCTTTTATTTTTCCCTTGCCTGGCGAGGCGGTTTGGATTTGGGACGTCGCCGACCTTTGTCAACAGGGGGCTCGTGAAGTCTTTTGCGACTCTTATGTGAAACAAAGCCGCTTTACTTGTTTTGCCTCTTTGTTTTGTTTTTCATGTCGGAAAATGAAAAGCACGATTACGGTATTGCTTTAATGTGTTGTCCTTCCTGTTTCTGCACAGACGAAATATCCCTTTTGTTCTTTGTTTTATTTATCTTTCAAATATTTTAAGGTTTGTTTTAAATGAGTTTTTAATAAAATGTAGAGACTCAAAACCGAATCCCTGTTGGGGTGTCACAAAAGTCTCGTCGATTAAAAGTTCAACACGCTTCACGCGAGACTCGTGTTGTCTCTTTTTTGCATTGAAGCAAACGGCAACTTTGCAAAATCAGCGTCGGTCTTGACATGTTTGCAAAACCGTCATCTTCGGTCAATGCCCCCCCCCTCCCCCCAAATAAATAACAAAAAAGAATGGAGCGGAATCTAGTTGCCTTCCAGCGTGTCGAAACGTTGTGAATCTTACCAACAGGTCAAAAAAATACTATTTAAAATCTTATGGTGTCCAGACCCTGGAACGTAAATTTGTCACGTGACGGAACATTTTGTGGTCAAGACGCATTAGAAATAAATTGGTGGCTCGCCGCGTTCACATCCTCCGTGAACGCTGGCAACTCAAAAAATCTAAATCAAAAAAACTGGCCTCAAAAATGTTTTCACTTCAACTCGAGAAGAAGAGTTGCTGATAGTGCTCACACGCACTATTTACGGGGAACAGAGATGCTTGCTAGAAACTATTTATTAGTGGTACAGGTGCTGTTTTGTAGGCAAAAGCGTTGTCGTAACTTTCAACTTCGAAAGAAGGCGCGTTCGATTTTGCTCTTCAATCGACCCGCACCCGGTAACTGCTGTACTTCATGCCCACAAGCAACGAGTTCGTGAGCACTCTCGAACCATTTTGTGCACACAATGTAGCAGTTGATGCCAACAAAAGTGGTTCCTCGTGCATGCATTCCAGTTACAGTGACTACACAAAGTCGTTTTTTTTTTTTTTTGTTTAAATGTCACATCTGGGGCTCCGTAGGAACCCCAAGCGGGCCCTTGTGTAAACCCTAACCCGACCTGGACACCCTTATTTGAAAGCCTAATCTGCTTTAGAAGTCTGTCAACCCGCGGCTGGCTTTGGAGCGAATCGCCTTAAAAGTGGAACCGAGCTGTTGTGGTCTGTTGACGCAGACGTCGCGAGCTAGCAAAATAAACTCCAAACATCCAGACCGCCGCCTGACTTCATACACGTGCAAGAACACACTCGTCAACGCGTACACGTCAGTCACCGCTTTGTGCGCACAAGCAAAGAAGCGGACAAGAAATCAACACACACGGGTTGACACGAGAAAAAAACATGACCCGGTCGTGCTTTTGTAGCCATCTTAAGTTGTCCTGATTCAAATCAACGTCGATTCAAACTTGCCGTGCGATTTGACTTCACGGCGCGGATCAGATGTCGCGCCCGCGCGCGTGCGAGCGAGGCCCGAGGACTGCAGCAGATGTCACTTAGCTCATTAGCTCGCGAGGTGAGTTTGGCGAGAGCTAAACGAAAAACATTTGCTCGCTTGACGCGATTGGAAACACGTTTCATCAAAGTGTGGCTGGGCAGCGCTTTTGTTCTTTGGGGCCGGCTGGCTCCGGGCAACGCGCGACCGGGCGGCGATCCTCGCCAGACACTCGATCGCTCTTCGTCGAGCGCCTTCGCCCGTCGAACACGGCGGGGGGGGGAAATCGCAAACTTTGAAAGCGAGTCGTCCTGGCGGGCGACTGGTCAGCAAGTCCGCTTGACGGTGCAGAGGTCACGGGTCGGATTGTGCGTCTTTGGAGGATTGGCGATCATTTGGGCGCACTTGCGAGCCCTGCTGCTGTGTGTGTGCATGTGTGTGTGTGTGTGTGTGTGTGTGTGTGTGTGTGTGTGTGTGTGTGTGTGTGTGTGTGTGTGTGTGTCAAATGCACTCCACAGTATTGACTTTTGAGGTCAAAATGACACGACAGTAGATGTTTGCTTTAAAAATAAATACATGTACCGATAATTTCTTTCGAGGACCCATTTCGAAATGTTACATTTGAACGGAATTTTATTTTGTGTTCGAAAATGGCCCACTTGAAAATGTTTATGGACAAGAAAATCAGGTTTGCTCTTATTCACAACGTGAATTTAAGAAATGAAAAATGTTGGTTAGAAAAGAGGAAAGCGATTGTTGCATGGTGTTTTCAAATGTTCCGTTTGATAAAATCCTCGCTTCGGGTCTCTGGGATTAACCTGCAAAATTGCTTCTCAAAATGAAAAAGTTGCTCCTCATATGAAGTCATTGATCAGCAAAACTGCTTCTCATGCAAAAGGTCATTTTGAGCCTCAGTGCTAAGTTTGATTTGAAAACGCTGAATTGTGAAAACGTCGCACACATGCAGCTTGTTTTCATTCCAAAACGAGTACCGAGTCACAGCAAAAACTTCCAAATGCTTTTCGCATTTGGAAACCCTACCTTGAAATCCGAAGCTTTTCCGGAAACTCTCATGAATCTCAAAGCCTGCCTTAAAACCCTCATTTCGAAAGCCAACCAAGAACACTTCATTTCAAGTAAAATAAATTATTAACGGCTTGGGATTGTGGTCTGGTTTTGACATTTTGTAAGAATAAGTGAAGGCCGCTATGCAAAGGGTTTTCTTTTGGATCAAGTCTAAATGATGCGGTGAAAGAAAAAAAAGCTCACTCGCACAAAAATAAAGAAATGAAAAATACCAGCACGGTCACAAAGTAAAGGAAGGAAATCAGCGACTCTCCTCTCCCTGTTTTTCTTTTCACTATTACGTGACAAACCAGAAAAGTCAACAGAAGGAAGACACTTTTGAGGGTCATCATAAATGTGTGGAGTCAAAATGCCGTGTCAGCATTTGGAGGCCCCACAAAAACGGACCGTAAACCGCCATCACGTCAAACCGTGGATGATTAGTCCGAATTCACAGGAGATGAAGGAAACCAATCGACACCTCAGGCAATTTCCAAGAATCGAACTTGAGTGGAGTCGATTCGCCCGAGCTCATTCGATGAGTTTCCCGCCGGCGATCTGTGGAGCTGTTTCAGTCCGTCCTTCTTGAGCGACGGTGAAACGTGAAGAACGCGACACGTGAAAACGACAAGCGGCGTTGAACATCATGCGGACGAGCGTAAAAGTTGACCAACTCAGCGGCTAACTGGCTAGCGCTAGCCCTCAACGGCTACAATACATCAGCGTTTGAGCCAAACAACACAGCTAACCGTTTGGCGCGAGCCGGCCAGCTTGATTGAAAACGACCTCGCGGGGAGAGCCGATCGGATCGTCGACAGCCTCGTATTTCACCCTTCGCACGAGGGATGGAAGCAATTAGGGAGCTATCCAAGTTGAAATTGTAGCTGGGATTATCTTCGATTAGCACCAAATCACAGCCGTGATGGATGGAGCTCGACATCACTCCCTCTTGTGTGATGTCGCCGACGTATGGAATAAGCACATTCGGATAACTCGGCGCGACGAAAAACAAAAACCTCGGCGTCCCTGTTCTTAAAGTTCCAGTCAAGTGAAAACAAATGCCTTGGAAATTAGACACATCGCACTGAATAGTTTTGCGAAGCTTGACAAATTGGAATGGTTAAAAAAAAAAAAAAAGCCAAGTGACAGCATGCTGGAGCCCATCCCAGCCGTCTTCGGGCGGTAGGCGGGGGACACCCTGAACTAGTTGCCAATTTTGGAGTGTCCCATTGACCGATGGTGCATGTTTTTGGAATGTGGGAGGATAACGGAGTACCCGGAGAAAACCCACGCAAGCACCGGGGAGAATATGCAGACTCCGCACAGGAAAGCCGGAGCCGGAATCGAACCCTGCGCTTCTGCACCGCCAGGCCGACATGCTGACCGGTCGGCCGACATGCTAACTGGTCGTTCGGCGTGCTGCCCAAAATGAAAACGTTTCAATTCAAAATTTTGAAATTCTTAAGTTCCACACTTTATGATTGTCATTGAAAATAAGTGGGTTCTTGAGCATTTACTGATTTTATTTTTTTTTTGGGGGGGTGGATGGGCAACCCCCATTTTTTGGTGGAAAATAGTTCTAAGCTGCATGCTGCTGTATATCCCAATTTATTCCAGAATTTTTGGGGGGGATGATAAACAACATTCCGGTTCTTCGCTTCCTCGTCTCTCGGCCGTTCGGTTTGCTAAATTTGGGCAGTTCAGCTTATGTTTTTTTTTTTTTTTTTGGGGGGGGGGTCTTCCCCCATCTGTCTTTTGTCTCTGTCACACTAAACTTGAGTGGTTTAATTTGCTTCTCTTGTTTGTTTCCTTTTCTCATCTGTGTAGTTTTGACCTCGCATCTCTTTGCGCCGTTTTGTTTATTCTGCTCGTGTTTCCTCGTATCAAGTTGAGGACTGGAGTCATTTACCATTGTTGAACTTTCCCATTTGTTCTTTTTTGTATTACCCCCTTTGTTTTTTTGGTTTTTTTGGGGTCCGGCATCTGTTCCTTGTTGCACTCTGTCCGTCTATTTTGCTTTGTCCTGGTTTATGTCTGGATTTCTTTGCGTTGTACCGTATTTTCACGATCGTACGGCGCACCGTATTAAAAGGCGTACTGTCAGATACGGGCGCTATTTCTGTATTTCACACATGCACAAGACGCATCGTATTATCGGACGCATGCACGCTAGCGTGTGTTTTTAAAAAAAAAGGCAGCGGGAACAAAACCAAGTTCGGTTGTACCGTATTTAAGTGTTTAACATGTACTCACGTTATTATTATGATTTTTTTAATCAATCCGTCGGTCCTAATCTACCGTGTCCGAAATGAACAGCTGGGCAAGTTCACAATCAAACACGCCAGGCTCCCCCTCGCGTCATCGTTGCCGCGCGGCTCCCCAGAAATGTGCAAATTGCCCCTCTTCGGGGCTGTTTTTACACAAAGTCCCAACTTCATTGGAGCTCGGCTTTGGATAATGTCTTCAGAACAAACTTTGAAATGAAATTGAGAAGGTCTCAAACGTGGGCCTTTATGCTCTCAAAAACAAGGTGTTGCGCTAGCTTTGCTAATGCTGGGAACTAAAGAACAAACAAAAAAAAAAAGGCTGGATTAATAATAATAATAATAATAATACATTTTATCTATAAGCGCCTTTCAAGTTTAGCGAATAATAACTGAAAAAAAAAAAAACGCTTTACCCCCCATGTTTAAAAAAAAAAAAAAAAGATGAAATGGAGAATTCACGAACCCCCCAAATTGGTGGTTTTCGTCTGGCACGAGACAACGCAGCGGCCACAAATCATTCTCTGAACTGAAAGCTTCCCACGCGAAAATGATTTGCATCTGATTGTATTTGGACATGGTCATTAATGCTCCCCGGTTCCAGCTCTACCTTATAAGACCTTGTCAAGATCATCGTGTTTCATTTTGGAGTCACGCGGCCTGGTACTAAATGCCACCAAATCCCATTTCGACTTTTCCACTGTTGACGTTTGGACGAAAAATTAACGTTTGGGTCTTTGACAAAGCGCCCCAGCGATTTGTCCGATGACGGCGCAAATCTGAATTAATCCCACTGATGTCAAACATCTCCAACATCTGGAACGTCGCGTTCATTCCACCTCGTCGTCGATCCGTGTCCAAACGTCAATCCGTGCCGACAAACCTGCGACACTTTGATCAGCGAGCCGCATTCTTAACCACTCGGCAACAACCAGAAATGCATTCTTACGTCATATAATCCAGGCCCTAAACTTCACCGTCATGTTTTCGACATATTTTGGGACCGGCAGAGAAACGAATAAAAACAACCGATTCAAAATATGACTTTCCTTTAGTCACGCTTCAGTGGTTCTGGTCCTTTGCCGCATGACGTCAACTGTTATGACACGGTGCTGTCAAGTGTCGTGGTGTTGCTGCGCATTGTCAGCTACAATTTAAGATGACTAAAGTGCCAGTTAGCACGCGGTCGGTGTCCGTGCGTTACTCAAGTCAAGTCAAATTGATTTCTGTAGCCCTCAATCACAGAAAAAAAGTCTCAAAGCGCTTCACGTGCTCGCTGCTCACAGATATAATCCATATTGCCTTACCTTAAACGCCCACGAAGGCAAAACAGAAAGATTAAAAACAAAACAAAGAAAACAATCAAAGTAAGGATAAAAAACAAATAAAGGGGATTGCACAAAAACATGGAATATAAGTGTCTCAATTTGAGTCTCGTGACACGAGCCGTCGATTGCCCCCCCCCCTTGAGATAAGAGTGAGAAATTGAGTTGCAAGTGCACTTCAGACCCCCTCGCCAGGTGGCGACAGCAACCTTCACGATATTCAATTCGCATTGGTTTCCTTGCAGTGGAAGCGCAAGACCAGTTGGTGGCACTAATGCGCCTTTAAGCGGCTTTGACAACCGCCACCGAAGAACAAGGATGCACAAAACGTTCGGCGCGGTCCGCTTTCTGCTCGCATTTTTTCGTTTTTTGCAGGTTAGGGGCGAAGCAAAAAGTTATTTGTGATGCTTAACCCTGAAATAGTGTTGAATGCAAAAAAATAAACACATGTTGGTGTTTGTTTTTTTTTTTTTGCGGGGGAGCGGGGTATGAATTGGATTTCCCTTCCTTCCAATGGTGAACGCGGATTTGAGAGAAAAAAAAAATCATTTGGATTTACTTGACTTCATTTTAACATCGGTTGCGTATGACCCAAATGTGTTGGGGAAGGATTTATCATTTGTTTATTTTCAAAGACGAGAGGAGAAAGTGAGATCAGTTCACCACATTTTAATCACTTGCAACTGAAAACAAAACGGTTTTGCTTACGAGCGCGGTCACGGGATCAATTAAACTCAAATCTCGAGGCGGCACTGTGTCAATCCTCTTTTGATCATTCTGAACACGATGATTATGATTTGTCTTGACATCAAAGGTTGCCTAGCAAATGGGATTTGTTTTTTTTTTTGTAGTTCCGGCGCACGCAAACGTCATCCAAGCGACGTATTCAACGTCACGTCAACGCTGACGCAAACAGTGCGTCGAAAGTCACTTTGTCAACTTCATTTTCTGCCATGGCTGATGTTCACGTCCTGAATAGCGGCGGAGGAGCTCGCCCTTTCTTCAGCAGACAAAAGTTTCCACGAGGAACCGAGTCGCAGTGGCCCCCTCGACTCGTTAGTTTCATTCTGAGATTCGAGCGAGCTCAGACAACAAACCAAACTTGGATCTCAAGGTAGCAGTCTCGCTCGGTGCCGTTTTGCTCTCAACTCAACTGTTATTTATGGAGCGTTTGAAAACAACCCCCGCCGTCTCCGGTTGCGCTGCACATTTTACACGAGGGGTTCACGATTAGTGGAGCGCAACCGGAGGACGGAAGCGGGCCCCAATAAGCGACACGTCGGACTGTCGTGCGGCTTTGGACGCTGAAACGAACACAGCGCGGCGTCCGCGCGGAGAGCCCGCGAGTGGTCGCCCCCCCCCCCTGCCGCCAGTGCCACTTTCGCGTTTGCTTTCGGGGCGGTGCACGAACAGCGCGTCCCTGCGACACTTTGGTCAAGAGGGAAAAAAGGCCGCGTATCAAATTCGCTCCAAAGAGTGAAGTCGACAGTGAATATTTACATTCGTTTCCCCGCGAACCAGCGCAGTGTTTCTTCGAATCAAAGCAACAAACTTGGATCCAATTTGGAGTTGGTCAACTCGAGAATATAATTCCATTTTTTTGCTCATGTGAAAATGGCCTTTCCTGTATTGTATTTTCAACAGAGAAATAGCAGTTTTACAGAAGCGTCTCTTGTATTGTACCGCAACTTCCACACGTTCCCCCTAAACCGAATACAGCTCTGCAAATCGTTGCCATCAATGTCAATCATTTAAAATGTCAAGTTGTTCCATCTTATTGTGCTTAGTTGTTTTTACGGTTTCGATACGGTCAAACGAAAGAACATACTTTTGACAGTGTAAATATATATTCACATCTTTTGAGTATAACAAGATGAAGCCGAGAAATGCAATGAAATTAGTGACGGACACAATGTTTGAAGGAACAACAAAGAGAAAAGAGCAAAAAAAAAAAAAAAAGCAAATCTGCCTTGCGTTTTGTTCAAGAATTTTTTTTTTTCATTGCCCTCGGGGAAATGACATTTTATCTTAGTTTGTAGTTTTGTTGTTGTCTTGAATGAAAAGAACACTTTGTCTTAAACACAACAGGGTGATTTCATGTCAACAAATGGAGCGTTGATTGATTGGAAACGTTCTTTGTGGCCTCTTAAGATGTGTGTTGGAGTCACCCATGGAGTTATCGTCTATTTGTGACATATTGAAGGACCAGCATGCGGCGTTTTCATCTTCGCTTTCTTTTCCCTCTTGCATCGATTAAATTTCGCTGAGCTTTCTATTCATCCTCACGTTTGTTTTTTCTTACATTGCTCATTGCCCCTCTACATGCCAACGGTCTCGAGCTCGGGTCTTGACCCGGACGGTGATTTGAAATTGGCCCGGCAAATTGGTGCCGTTGTTCAATGCAGCTTCTTTCATCTTAGGCAGCTGGCTAAAGTCAAGCCTCTCCTTTCTCTGGTGAGCACTTTGAAACTTTTGTCACATCTTGGCTGGATGACTGCCTCGGACTTGACTTTGGAGTCAGGGAGTCCTCCATTAAGCGTCTCCAGTTGGTCCAAAATGCTGCAGCTCGCCACTTGACTGCTACCCGTAAGAGGGAGCACAGAAGTCCTTCACCGGCTCCCCAGACATTTGAGAGTTCTTTTTAATGTCCTGTTCTTTGTTTTGCAACCTTGAAATGGCCTGACCCCACGTGACCTCTCTGAGCTCCTCCGCTCCTGCCCCGGTGCCCCGGGTCAGCTATTAGAGGTACCGAGATCTCAGTGGAGGCTCAGAGGGGATCAAGCCTTTTCCATTGCTTATCCCTATCTTTGGAATGAATGCCTACTGAACGTTTGGCAACGTTCGGCAAGCACCTTGGCTGTCCATCTTTAAAACTCATCTCAAAGCTCATTTTTGTTCTTTGGCTTTTGACTCAGCGAATGACTTGATTTTTATTTGGACTGTTTTTGCGCTTTCGACCGTCTTTGTTGTTCGTTTGTTTGTTGTTCTATGAACTCATTTTGCTCCATGTCCAGCGGTGGTTGTTTTAAAGCGCTCGACAAATACAGACGAGTTGAGTATATTGTCACCACAGACAGACGCGCGGGGCTGCATGTCGATCTGCGTAATTGTGATGGAGATACTCGTGGCTTGAGAGGCTTGTAAATGTCACGTGAATTATGGCTTTTAAGTGCTTCGCCAACGGTCCGCGTCACATCACGTCAACGGTTCATTTAACATCGCCCACAAAAAAAAAAAAAACAACCAAAACGTGCTGCCAAGTCACGCGCATGTGATAATAAACGGCGGGGACCCAACGTCTTTGGAATGTCGTTGGCTGCTCTATTGTCATGTGAACGTGATGCAAAGTCATGTCAATGGTGCGTAAGCGATGGCTTTCATGTCCGTGTCAAGAAGCCTTTCCACCGTGGGGCCGAAAGCCAGGGTGTCATCGTAGCGTGTTGTTGCCGTGTTTGCAGCGTGTTCCCATCTGTGGTCTGCATACTCCCACCACCCCACCCCGCCCGGCCCACCCACCACCCCACCGCCGGCTCCAAACCTTCCCGGCGGATTGTCAGCTGAGGGGCGAAGGTAGCCGCCGCAGACGCTGAGCTCGGATTCAAAAGCGCAATGGGAGGATACCGGCGGGACATTTGGGGAACGGGCGGGCGAGGACGGACGTGACCCGCAGCCGGCCCAGCGGTCCGACCAGAAGAGCAGGAGCAGCGCGGGACTTTCAAAGACGGCGCGAGCGAGGTGAGCTCACTTGTACGTACGCGTCACGTATGGAAACATTTGGTCCAAACGGATGAAACATCCCGATGGTGACAAAAGATCGCCTGACGCTTTTGCGACAAGTTCCCACGGTGTTCCGGTCGCACCTTGACGGCTTTCTCCCATTTTGGTCTGGCACTATTGCGGCTCCTCCACCAAAATCGCCACCGTTTTACGTGTGGACCGCTGCCGGATTATTTTACGCTCCTTCATCTTGTGAGAAGATCCGGCAGCGTTCCGGCCCCTCCGGCGCACGTTTGTGCTCCTCCGGCATTGGCGGAGCAACTTTATGGCTCATTTGAAGGAGTTTTTCTCTCCGTTTGGCAGCAAGTGCTGGCTGGCACAGTTGCGGCCCCTTACGGCCACGCTGCCGGATTATTTTGCGCCCCTGCGGAGCGTTTTCCTCTCTATTTTGCGAGAATTTCCCGGCACATTTCTGACAATGTTACCATTCGGAATGAAGAAGCTGTTTTTTTTTTTTTTTGAGAAGTTCCAGCAGCATTCCTTCTCTTGCGGCCTCTGTGGTAAGACTTTCGGCTTTCCTCACCTTTTGTAGCTCCCCAGCTGGAAACGCTGACAAGATCGTTTCAGTTTTTCGGGCCTTGTCGCAAGTCCGCGCGCTGGTCTGGCAAGCGTCAGGAATCGTTGACGGCTGCCGGGTCGTTTCAAGCCGCGTTGAGACGTTTCGCAAAACGTCTCGTCGAGGGCTCCCAAACACTGAATGCTTCCAGGAGGCGCAGCCCTCGGATATATTCAAGGCGCCCCCCCGGCCAAACTCTTTTCAGCCGCCAGATCCTTTGAAAGGTTGGTGGAGAAATTTCCACTCCTCTAACTGCCTCTTGAAAACCGCTTTCGATTGTTTTTAAAGCCCCTCCGGAGTGATTTTTCTCTCGGTACCGTGAGAGGCGTTCCGGCTCCACTCGCAGTCGGATTGCTCCGAGCGCCTTTTTCTCTCCGTTTTGGGAGTTTCGGCCTCCTCTGGTACCTTATGGCCCGGCCTCCCTGCCAGCTCAAATATTGACGGCTGCTTTATCATTTTTGAGAATTTTTTGTTTTTTTTTTTCCTCCGGCAGCGTGCCAGCATCTTAAAGGCTGGGCTTTTCCTTTTGGTCGAAGTAGCGGCAGAGTTCAGATTCCTGCGGGAGCGTTCCAACTCTCTCTCGTGCCAACTTTTACGGCCCCGCGGCCGGGATGGACGCCGTCCGCCGGGATGGTTTAAAGCCCCTCTGAGCCACTTTCTCTCCATTTTTGCCACGCGCTGCGGCTCTCCTGGCACCTTTACGGCTCCCCAGGAAGCTTTTGACAGCGGGCCAAACGTCGCAAGCTCCTTTTGAGAAATGTTCACCCCGTTGAGGCGACGAGCTCCGTCAGCGTCGGGGCTCCTCCGGCGCCCTGTTGAAAATGTCGACAGCAGCAGGATGCTTTCAAGCACGGGACGCCTGCCGCATACGCGAGCTTGTCCGTTCCTCAACTGATGCTGAGGTTTTAATAAGCAACTTTATTTGAATTGCAAATACAAACAAAAAAACAAAAACAGCATTTTTTGAAAAATTGTTAAAAAAGCTGACATTAAAATAATTCCGACTGCAGAATC